TGGTGGGGTCGCCTTCCCTTAAATCTCTTCCCAGTGAGTGAGGCAGAGCTCTCAGGTTGTATCATCAATGACTCGGGCATGCCCAGTACCATCCTCAGTGCCCTCATACAACCTCTGTCATGTTACTGGTACTGTGATTCTCCAGTGGGCAGAGATTTTAGTACTGCAGTTAGCTGAAGGGTATCATAGGTCAGTTAGAGCAAGTCCAGAGCAGGGCTGGTTTACACCGCTTGCCTCTGCCTCAAGAAAGTGCTGGAGCACATCCCTTGTGCCCAGTAACTGTCTTTTGGATTTGTTTAATCTGTTTTGTAGCAATTTTGTTGAGCACCCCAAGCTAGCACGGCTCGGTGTTTTCTCATGTAGTGGAAGCTTGCATTTTTCCCTTAGTGGGGCAGCTGGACCACAGGGCTCTGAGGTCCCTTCCAACCTGGACCTTCTGTGGTTCCATAACAGTCATTATTTGTTAGTCATCTCTTCCTGCTTTTGGAAGGACACTAACCCCATCACGGGGGCCCACCCTCACCACCTCACCTAACCCTAACCACCACCTAACACCGCCACATTGGGGAATAGAGCTTCAACATATGATTATAGGGGGACATGATTCAGTCCGTAGAAGCCTAGAAGAGGATTTTTAGAGCTTTGCTAAAGTTCTGGATTCCTGTAATACCACGGTCCCTGCGGCATGCTGTTCCACCCAGAGGCTGCTCGTTGTGTTCTCTCACCAGGCTTGCAGGATGGGTCCCCAGGGACAGTGAGGCTCAGCGTGGCCCTAGCTGAGCTTACATCCATGTCATTAGAGGAAAGAGGACCCAAATCCAGACTCCAGTCTGGGGGCTCCTCTCAGAGCTCCTGCTGGCCTCCCATGGGGACTGACTGGGACACCCCTGATGGCTGCCTCCTTCCCTCCCGTCATGTTAATCCTGTGTTGTTCACAGCTCTGCATAGCCAGGGCCCCTGAGAACCTTCACGCCGTCTGGGTTTGGGTTGAGTGAAATGAACTCCAAGCTCTCATTTCTGAGGTGATGCACATCTCCCCCAGCTTCTCTCTGCGCTCATCGGGCCGTGTGCCTAGAGCCCCAGGGGACCTGGCTGTCTCTCGCCCAGACAGAGGCTCTGCGGGTGGGCACCCAGGAACCTGCAGTGTTGAGATGTGCACCTCTTGATACCAGCCTGGTCCACTGTCTGTTGTCTGTCCCCAGAGCTCATGAGCCTGGTGTCCGGGCTGCTCCAGCCAGCCCCTGAGCAGCGCACCACCCTGGAGAAGCTGGCAACAGACCCGTGGTTGACACAGCCCGTGAACCTCGCTGACTACACGTGGGAAGAGGTGTGTCGAGTAAACAAGCCAGGTGAGAGGCTTCTTGGCATGCCTTCTGCCCTGGATGGCTTTGCTTGGAGCAAACAGGTCCCTAGGCTGCCTTGGTGAGTTAGGATGAGGAGGAGGCTCCCTCCTCCATGCCGTCCTGGACACGAATGTCAGGGCCTTAGCTGGCCTGTCACCTGTGGGGAGCTTCATTCTGTCCAGAGACCCCTAGATGCTCCTGGGGCTCTGAGTGTGGCTGTGGGCCTGAGAAGGCGGGCAAATGCCCACGGCAGCCCCGGACAGAGGGGTCGGGGCCGATGGTCTGCCGGGCTGGAGGAGAGGATGCTGAGATGCTGCGTGTGATGCTCTGGCCATGGCTGTTCAGACAAGGCTCCTGGCTGCTTCTCAGACCATCGGCTGAGCTGGTGCTGCTGCTGGGCGTAGCTGCCGCACACCGTGGCAGGGTCTGCGCTTCCAGAGTGCTGCCTGCCGAAGTCTTCTGTGCCAGGACTCCGAGCAAGAAGCAAATTGGTTTAGAGTCTGGTGTTGCAAGCGCATGATACGGTGCCTTCTTCTTTCCTCAGAGAGTGGAATTCTGTCCACTGCCAGTCTGGAGATGGGGAGCAGGAGCCTGAGTGAAGCAGCGCAGGAGCTCTGGGGGGCCCCCACCCTGTAGGAGGCTCTGGCAGCCGGTGCTGTCTGCGTCCCGGGAAGCCCTCTCCGCTGAGCGGCCGAACACTGGCCTCCTGCTGTTTTCTACTCAGTCAGGAAAACCTGTGGTTTTCAGGCCCCATCCATTTGGAGAAGGTGAATTCTCAAGAATTAGGCCCATTTCACCTTCTGAAAACTTATGTGTAAGTTTGATAAATGCTAGAACAAAAGCCAGTGATGCTATATTATTTTAGGTTTATAAAACTGACTTTGGGATTCCCTTTTTTCATGACTTTGAAAAAACATTCCAGTGTTCACTTGCTTTATACTATTAAAGGGCTTTTACTTAGTGAACTTCTGAAAGGCACAAAAGAGTGTTTTAGTTCTTTTTCTACTTTTGCACACGTACATATGTTGTGGTTCCTCTGACGTGGCGGGTGCTCATCTGAGTGACAGACGTGTGGGGTTTGTAGAAACAGTGAGCCAATGGCAAGACTGTTTCATTAATTTATTTCCTTGAAGACTTTTCAGATTAAAGCAACTTTGTTAGTAAACCATTATCCTTACTTTCACGGTATGAATTGTCCCAGCTTGCTGGGTGTGAGAAGCGCTTGGCTTCTTTACTTTTCCATTTGTCTACCCCACTCGCCACAGCTGGGGAGAAGTCCAGCCTCGGTCAGTCTCAGAGGTGGGCCCTGCCAGGGCTGATCCCAGGGCCCAAGCTTGGCCATCTGAGAAGACTGGGGTGGGGGAGGGAGGGTGTGGTGTTCTCAGGGACTTCCCCTCTGTCTGCCTAGGCTCTAGCAGGACCTGCTGTCAACATATGGCACATGCTAACAGCCCCCCAATACTCCACAGCCACCCAGCCCTCACCTCTGTGTCTATGTGAGGGGTCCAGGCTCCATCTCTGTCTACATGAGGGGCTCTAAGGCTACCTCTGTGTCTATGTGATGGGTCCAGGCCCACCTTTGTGTCTACATGAGGGGCTCCAGCTCTGTCAGCCCCTCAGTGTTGCTCAGGTCCACAGTGTATTTCTCACATATTCAGCTGTCTGCTTCCCTCTCTCCGGCTCCAGTCCATCCCCCTCTCAGAATTGCTATGTGAGGCACATGAAATCCAGTTTTATTTCATATCTGTTAGGAGGCAGTGGCTAGGGGTGATTATGAAAATTTTCATTTTGTTTCCCTGCAGAGACAGCAGGAATAAACCAAAACCACCAAAACATCTCCCTTTTCCCTACATGTTATCTCTTGCATGGACATTTTTCTCCAGATTCCAAGGTTTCTCCTGCTCAGAATCCCCTGGAAGCAGCTTGGAGGCTGCCTCCAGTATGGTTGTGTTCAGTGTCTAGGGGTTATTTAGGAGACACTTAACTGTTTATTTTAGGATGGTCAAAGCAGAGTTAATTTTAGTCCCAACTAACAGGGCATAGGGGATTGCCAGCCCCTTTCTTCAGAAAGTGCTGTTGGAGTCTCCCTGACATTATAAGTGACTGATGAGGTTTTGGGTTCGGGGATGGGGAGGGAGACCCTTCTCCATCAGGAATGTTAAAGGTGCAGGGTTTTTAGAGTGGAGTAAAATGTGAAGTTACTCGTCAGAATTCATATGAGAATTCTAAATGTTTTTTTCTGTGTAGTGTTTATGATGCTTCTAACACATAAGATGTTAGAGAATGGTGTTTTTCAGAGAGGTATGTAATGGGTTCAGAATGCAAAGGCCTAGCTCTCCAAGAACTGTTAACTTCTTTATAAGAAAAAATAATTAAAGCTCATCTGACATCATGGCAGTGGAAGGCATTTTACAAATATTTTGCAAGTGTTCTTTGCAGAAATAACCTGGAGAGAAAAGTGCTGAGGCTGAGGCTGAGGGTTTTTCCATTCTATGTTTCAAGTGTGGTTTAAGAAAGCAACATCTTCACGAAAGACTGAGATATTGTCAGTTTTTCATAGCAATCCCTGCATCCCAGCTGTTGCTCTGTTTCTAGAGCTGGACAACCTGCTCAGCTTCCACTGTTCTTTCCAAGGAATTGGGGTGACTCACAGGATTTTCTTGTTTCTAGGTTTTTAGTGTAAAAGCATTAACAGTTTATTTTGAGGTGTTGGCAGCTGAGTATTCTAACAAAATTAGATATTATACTATGAAAACAACAAAAACAACTAATTCTTTAGTTCTACACAGACTGCAACCTTCCTTTTCTTTGATATAATCCTTCTGACCAAAGATACTTTTACATAAATACTTCAGCACCCAGCTTGGTGCCTGGCACAGAGCAGATATTCTGTAAATGGGTAAATGCAAGAATCAAGTCCATTGTTCCATTTCAGAAAGCAGATAAAACAGGAAGACGTGCTTATAAATTAAGGCTTTGGACTTAAAGGTGGTGAAATTTAGGCAGCTAAAAAAGCACAACTTTTTTTCTTCACAACCAGCCCCTTATGCCTCGGCTGTGTACTCAAACAGGGCGAGTGCTGAAATGTAAGGATCAATACACATTAGGCTGAAACATTACAGCGTTTCATCCTAAGCTAGACCTCGGAGTTGGGAGGGCTTTTGTTTATAAGGGGAACTGTGCCACCGTTCCTGTCATTTTATTACTTGGGTCAAGTCTTTTAAAAACGGTAAAGACTTTGTGTGCGTGTGTGGCTCCAGTGTCCCTGTTCAGTATAGATTTTCACGCAATCAAAATGTGGACACTTCTGTCTGGGACTGAGTCCGTTTCCCTGCCTGAGAAAGGATTTTCGCGCCCTGCGGCGCGGTCACTGTCGCCTCAGAGAGCCGCTGTGAACCGAGGTTACTGTTCCATTTTGCCTGTACTCTCGCGAGAAATTTCCAAGTCACCCAAACGAGAGTGTGGGACGCGGTGCCCGCTCGTTGCGCCAGCCGAGAGCTTTACAAAGCGGGAAGGACTGTGCAGCGCGTCGCGACAGAACCGGGCCGCGCTCCGGCCGCGGCCGCGCGCCGCTCGGCTCGGATCCCGGTGGGGTCACGGCCCGCGGGCTCGGCGGCGGAACCCACTGCTTGCGCTCCCCCATGGCGCGGGGCGGGCGGCGGCGACGGACCGTGGGGCCGGAAGTAATGACCGGGGAGGGCCGCTGCTTCCGGCCCTGGAGCAGCTGCCGTCTCCTCAGCACTATGGCTGCGTTTCGTCGGCAGGTAAGCTAGCGCTCGGTGCGGGGGCCCTCGCGAATCGCGGGCGGGCGGAGTCGCGGAGGAGCCTCTGCCTCCGGGGTCTTTCCGGCCAAGTGGTGGCGACTTGCAGCAGGAGTGTTCTCAGGCGGTCTGAGCACGCTGCGTTGGTCTTGCCGGCGTTCCTGGACCTGTGGCTCTGCTCCATTCAGCGCGGCTTTGGCCGGGTTTCCCGGCGGAGGGGTTGCTGGACCGTCAGCGGGGCGCGGGCCAGGGCTGGAGAGCCGGGAGCGCTGGGGCTTGACTGGCTGGCCGGTGCAGCAGTCGGTGACGCTGGGGGCAGGGGGCGGGAAGAGGTGGGACCCGTGTGAAGGTTTCTGAGGGCTTCGGTGATTTGCGCTTAGTTTGTTGAGCACTGGCCTGAACCACTGAAGATTTTTGAGGTAACAGGAATTCTGTATACAAGTTGACTGTGAGACTAAATTATGGTTGACCCTTGAACAACCCAACTGAAAATCCGCATAACTTTTGGCTGCCCCAAAACTTTACCAATAGCCTACTATCGACTGGAAGCCTTACTGATAACATAAACAGTCGATTTAGCACATATTTTGTACGTTATGTGTATTATAGGCTGTATTATTACAATAAAGTAAGCTAGAGAAAGGTAATGTTACTAAGAAAATCATAAGGACCTTGGCTGTGGACAAGATTTTTTTTTTTTTGAGACAGTCTTGCTTTGTTGCCCAGGCTAGAGTGAGTACCGTGGCGTCAGCCTAGCTCACAGCAACCTCAAACTCCTGGGCTCAAACGATCCTGCTGCCTCAGCCTCTCAAGTAACTGGGACTACAGGCATGCGCCACCATGCCCGGCTAATTTTTTCTATATATATTAGTTGGCCAATTAGGCCAATTAATTTCTTTCTATTTATAGTAGAGACGGGGTCTTGCTCTTGCTCAGGCTGATCTCGAACTCCTGACCTCGAGCAATCCGCACACTTTGGCCTCCCAGAGTGCTAGGATTACAGGCGTGAGCCACCATGCCCGGCCAAGATTTTTCTATATATTAAAAAAATCATAAAAGAGAATATATTATCAAGTGGATATGAATCATCATAAAGGTCTTTAGGCTGTGAAGGAAGAAGAAGAGGAGGGGTGAGTCTTGCTGTTTCCAGGGTGGAAGAGGCAGGAGAAAATCTGCATATAAGCAGAACCCAACAGTTCAAACCCATGTTGTTCAAGGTTCTGACAAGATTCTTTTTGTGCAGTGAATTTAGATACATGACTCTGGGGACTAGTCTGAAGTCCAGGCATTACCAGGTGGCCTAGAAATAGTTTTCCCTGTCCCTGCCATTGGAGGAACAAACGTTAATACTGCACCTGCTCAACTCTGATCTGTATGCCCTTTAAACATCCTGTTCTCGCTGTGTGAACTTTTATGTATGTAGACTTTTTAAGTTCAGGTCTGATTTTGCAGATTGCTTATACAAACTGTTATGTTTGTGTAGAACCAAGGAACTAAATACCCTGGCTCAAAAATCTTGTGGTGTCCGTTACTCTTGGGTGGTGAGGAATTGATTCTCTTTTGGTTCTGTGTGTTACAGGTCCTTAATTGCTGCCGCCTCGTCCCCCTAACTTGGGCCCGTATGGCTAGGGAGACTGCTTGTGTTGGAGAACGGAAAACAATGACTGCTTCTTTGTGGCGTAAACTGACTACAGCCTCCAGCAGAGGGGACCTTGAGGAGTTATCCTGTGTGGGATCCAATAAGTACGTGAAGGAGCCGGAGTGCAGGGTGAATCTTGTTCTCCTTGAGAAGCAGAGGGCTCCTGTGGATCGAGGGTCCTTGGAGCTAGAGAAGGTCACCAGTTCCCTCCTGGACATGGGTTTCAGTGATGCCCATGTTAATGAATTGCTCAGTATACAGCCAGGTGCCAACCCTCAGCAGTTGCTGGACATCATTTCAGAGTTTATACTCTTGGGTCTGAATCCAGAGCCTGTGTGTGTAGCCTTGAAGAAAAGTCCCCAATTATTGAAGCTGTCTGTAATGCAAATGAAGAAGCGCTGCGCATACCTGCGAAAGCTTGGACTTGGAGAAGGTACAGAAAGATGCAGATTTATTTATTTATTTATTTTGAGACAGTCTCACTCACCTGCCCCTGCTAGAGTGCCATGGTGTCAGCCTAGCTCACTGCAGCCTCAAACTCCTGGGCTCAAGCGATCCTTCTGCTTCAGTCTCCCAAGTAGCTGGGACTACAGGCATGCACTGCCATGCCCGGCTAATTTTTTCTATATATTTTTAGTTGGCCAATTAATTTCTTTCTATTTATAGTAGAGACGGGGTCTCGCTTTGGCTCAGGCTGTTTTCGAGCTTCTGACCTTGAGAGATCCGCCAGAAGATACAGATTTTATATAGTGTGAGAGGAGTCAGGGTTGGGGAAAGAATAACCTGAGGTTAGATGGATTAGGGAAGGTTTCTGCGGAGGTGTCAGCTGTTCCTAGGCAGGAATGTGTGGTTTGGTTTGGAGGAGAGGAGGAGGAGTCATCTCTGCAGAATGCGTTGCAGGAGGGAAGTGGGCACATTAAGACCAGAAGAGAGAACTGAATGCCAGGACAGAGACTCTTGTCTATTCACTGTAGGGTGGGGTCTGTAACACTTAGAACAGTGATGAGCACATGGTATGTGCTCAGTAGATGAGTGTTTACATGAGGTGTTGACACACATATGTATATGTAAACTTTGATATTTAAATCAGCTTGAAGTGATGTTAGTGCTTTGTCTGCGTATGGTGTAAAGCCAATGGCATCGTCCCTGGTGAAGCATTAGGTTCCAGCCAAGTGCTCTGATTTACTGTAGAACATGAGCGATCTTACCAGGTTCCTGGGAAATGGGTGGAATGGTTGTCCGTTATAGCTAGTCCCACCCCCGCCCCCACCAGTGTTCACATTTCAGGAATCCTTGGATCTCTTTAAGGGCCTTCTGGAGAAGGGGGTTGGGGGCTCATGAAGGTCTCCAAAGACCCCTACTTACTTTGACCAGAAAAGTTCCACCATTATTTATTTCTTTTCATTAATGACTCTTGCTAGTGAGAATTTTTGTTTTTTGGTGGTGGGAAGGTTTATGACCCCACTATTTCACAGTATCTCTGCAGGCTTTCTTCTCTAGAAGACAAGCAAAAAGCATCCTATACTTCTCTTAACAGAGTACTTCTCACGATGTGCTCTGAAAGGCTAAACTTAATGCATTATGTGCTGTGGCTGTTAATTAGCAAACTCAGCACAGCCTTAGGATGTGAAGATAGAGCCTGAGATTCACTCCTCACACACTAAGACAATTACCAACTCAAATGTTAGGAAAATTTTTTTTTTTTTTTTTTTTTGAGACAGAGTCTCACTTTGTTGCCCAGGCTAGAGTGAGTGCCATGGCGTCAGCCTGGCTCACAGCAACCTCAATCTCCGGGGCTCAGCGATCCTCCTGCCTCAGCCTCCCGAGTAGCTGGGACTACAGGCATGCGCCACCATGCCCGGCTAATTTTTTGTATATATATTTTTAGTTGGTCAATTAATTTATTTCTATTGTTTGGTAGAGACGGGGTCTCGCTCAGGCTGGTTTCGAACTCCTGACCTTGAGCAATCTGCCCGCCTCGGCCTCCCAAAGTGCTAGGAGGAAAATTTTTATTAACAGTTTAAATAAGTGATTTAAGTTTCTAGTTATTAAATTTTGCTCAGCTATCCATAGGAAGAACACATACTCCAATATGCCTGGAATAGTCCCATTTATACCAGTTACTGATAGGGCCTCTTTCACTCAGAGTGCCCTTGTGTGGATAGAATATATGGTCATGCAGTAACCAGACATCAGCATTTGTGGCCGTGTGTTATTATCACCATTGTTATGGAACTCCTTCTCAATGAGTTCAGGCTCCCAGCTCTTGTGAATGCTTCAGTGACTGTTTTACTATAGAGAAAAACATCATCCCAGAGCCCCAATATGGGGAAGCTACTCTCCCGTCTTACTGTCTGATCTTTGAGTAAATCTCTGTGAAATTCTTTTCTAGGTGAGGAGGGCAAGGGGAGGCCTAGAATACAAAGTTGGTTCCTTTCAGATGGGATGCCAGAACAAAGCAGGAATTTAGGGAGGGAGGGCTGGTGAGTCTGAGAAGGAAGGAAGGAAGACAGTGTGGGGGGGGAATGTGTCCTTTCCATGATGCTTCTGGAAAGATACATCTGAAATTGGCACTTGGTCTGTGGTTGTAGAAGATCCTTGTTCATTTTTTAAATGATTGCTTAAACTAGCAGCACATGGGGATTCTGGGATATCCTGAAATTATGTGCTTGCCTTTTTTGAATGTTCTGCAGGGAAAATAAAGAGGGTGCTTTACTGTTGCCCTGAAATTTTCACCATGCATCAGCGGGACATTGATGACATTGTCCAGGTCCTCAAGGAAAAGTGCCTTTTCACGGTCCAGCAGGTAACCAGTATTTTATACAGATGCCCCTCTGTTCTTCGAGAGGAACCCAGTGAACTGGAGTACAAATTCCAGGTGAGAATGACTGACAGAATGGTTGGGGTAGTAAGGCAGGTTTTTCATGAAGCAGCGAGGGTCACACACCTCACTTTCGAGTGGGCGAGGTGAAAGGCTTAGATTCCTTTTGTGTGCACTGGCCAAGGAGAATCAGGTTCTGGTTCTTTTGGGTTTTCACTACTGATCAAACCTGTTCTGCAGCTTTTCTGCCATTAATAGTGTATAACGTAGTCTCATTCTTGGAGTCCAAGTGGGGACTCTGGTTGAAATAGCTAATTTTAAAATAGCTAAAACCCTCTTATCTTAAGAATCTATTCTGCATATTGACTTTGAAAATGTAATTGTGACAGTTGTCATAATGTCTTAGAAACAATTATGACAGCTTAGGTCAAATTCCAAGATGTTTTCTGAATATTCTTGCCTATTCTTTCCATACTCATAGTTTTCCTTCCCCCGGCCAAGGGAAAATATAACTTCTCCTTCCTGCCCCTTGATTTTGTGCTACATTTTTCTCAATATAAATTTGAAAGTGCTTTGAAAACTGCCATCCATCACACAAACATCAGTATCATAGAGTGGGTGTTCTCCTGCTGTTAATTGGGCAGTTCCTTTTGAATGCTTTGGGACAGCTTAGGTTGATTGTGGATTATGGAATGATAGGTTTTAAGATTCTGTACCTGGGATTACTAAATGGGTTTGTGTCTTCCAGTATGCGTATTTTAGGATGGGAGTTAAGCACCTGGATATAGTAAGGAATGAGTTCTTGCAGTACTCAATGGCCAAGATTAAGCAGAGGCACGTGTACCTGGAGCGCCTGGGACGGTACCAGACCCCGGATAAGAAGGGGCAGACGCAGGTCCCCAACCCGCTGCTCAAGGACATCCTCAGAGTCTCAGAAGCCGAGTTTTTGGCCAGGACAGCCCGTTCTTCTGTTGAGGAGTTTGAGGTTTTTAAGAAGCTCCTGGCTCGGGAGGAAGACGAGGAGTCTGAGAGCGGCTTGTCAGATGACAAAAGGGCAAGTCTGGATGAGGACGAGGAGGATGAGGAGGACGAGGAGGACGAGGAGGATGAGGAGGACCAGCTGTGAAGGAAGGACTGGGCAGAAGGGCGTGGAGACAAGGGACGTGTCTCTCCCCTCAAAGTTCTTGGGACCTTCACCTGGATCATGTTCCATTGTAAAACTGGTCTTTTGATGTAAAGATTGTTACAAATCGCCTAAGAAGTAGACAGGACAGGAAACGCGTCGTCTGCCCTGCTGCCGAGTGTCTGTGTGGGCCCTGTTCCGTCCTAAGGAAAAGACTGGCTGGGAGCCGTCAAAATCCAGGGGACTCAATACATGAACATTTGGTTTTATTCTAAACGTTTTGGTGATGACCCCATGACCGGGGCGGATGGGGTTCCTCCTTCTCACTCAAGAATCACTTTATGTTTCCTTCTAGTGATAAACATAAAATTATGAGAAGGCAGAATAAGGTTTTAGAACATCATAGCACTTTATTTTATGAAAACAAGTAGCAGGTTTTCCACAAAAATACTTGTTTTAAATCCAAAAGTATCTTATTGCTTCCTAACTGCATTCAGTGTACAGCAGAGTAAAAGGAAATTGATTAATAATGTGTGGTCTAATTTCGCACAGCTTCTAAGGCCAGCAAAGCTCTGGCCTGCTTTTCTCTGCCTTTGTGAGGAGCAGGCCCTCCTGTTGGGGGAAGTTGGCTTTTGTGCCAGCTCCTGGCCTGTGGTCACTTGCTTGGCATCTTAGGCCCTGTGGCCTGTATGGCCAGAGCGTGCCGGCCTGGGGAGTGGTCTAAACAGTTGTCTCCCCTGCCTGGTAACAGATGGGCTTTGAGAACCAGGGGAGAGAGTCACAGAGTGGGGTGGGCCAGGCCAGGGTGCAGGAGCTCCCCACAACCCCCAGGGAGGAAGGGCCACCTTGGGGAGCCCTCTGGGTTTGAGGAGCAGTTTGAAGTGTTGGGAAGGGAAACAGGAAATCGACATAAGCTGGGGGTGATTTCTGAGGTAGAGGCCTGGCGTTGATGGCGTGAGCTGTCAGAGGGGCCTAGAGGATTGGCACAACCTAGAATGTTCTAGGAAGCCCTTCCTCAGCAGCTGGCATGGGATTGAAGCAGAAAGTATTTTTGGTGATGGACCCAAATTCAGATCTTGTTGGCAGCATTTTAGCAATTATGTGAAACGCTGATGCTTGGCCTTGGTTTTCCCACATAGACCGAGTAAGAATCCTCCAAGGCCACCTTTCTCACCTGGGGGGAGTCGTGACCCTTAGGGGACCTCTGATGATCTCTGGAGATGGGGTGTCATGACCTCAGGGAGGACGCTACTAGGACCTAGAGAGCAGAGGCCAGGGACACTGCAAAACATCCGACAGTGCGTAGGACACCCCAGGAGAGAGTGGTCCAGCCCAGAAGGTCAGTGCCAAGGCTGAGAAACTGCTCTGAGGCCCGGCTCGATAAATTAATGTGAATGTGTCTATTTGTGACGACGTCAGATTATAAATGGACTTAACAATAATAGTATCATTTTATTTAAAAGAAAAATAGCTGGTTTTTCAATGGGTTGCTTGCCCCTGGGCATTGGAATGCTCTTGGTGGAGCTGAGCCGCGTTTCCTTGTGGGGACTCAGCGCTGAGGTGTGGATGCCTTTGCTTTCCCCAGCAGGCTCTCGTCAGAGCAGGACTACAAAGAAAGAGCTGTTTTCTGCAAAAGAAAAGCAGTAGCTCAGTGACTCGCTCCACATCTTGAGTCAGACATCGGTGGCAGTGGTTTGCCAGTGGGAGAGTTTCCACTCAGGGACGGTGCAGGATGTCAGCGGACGCCTGGATGGGGCCTCTGGGAGCTGCGGGCACGGAAAGTTTCCTCGCCACGCCGGCAGCCCACGTGCAGTGGGGAGCGAGGGGTTGGTCTCTGCTCTCTCTCTTGGCCACAGGCAAAACTGAAAATGAGCATATTGCGCTCTGGGCCAGTGTCTTCATTTACTGTTCCATTTTGTGGCATCTAGATGACCACCACTTTCCCTGGAACCTAAGATGTTGTTTTTGTGCCCAAGCAGAGGACCGAGTAGAACCCTAAGTCTGTGCGTGGTCACATGGTCATCCCCAGTCTCGATTAGCACATGGCTAACTCAACAACACATCAATTAATTTTGACACAGAAATAAGTCTTTATGCCCCTGGTGATTTTTGGCTTCTGTTAGTGCCCATTTCCTTGAGTGGACTTTTGAGTATTTTCAAGGAAAACATTTGAGTTTTAAGATGGAGCCACGTGACAAAAACAAGGGTGGCTCGTGTGGAATGTTTCAGGAATAAAGTGTGATTCCTTTAGCATCAGGACGTCTTTTACGGTACACTTAATTTGTAAGACATCAGAAAGGGTGAATCGTGACAACACAGCACCAAGCTCAGGATTCAGTAGACCATTTCTTGTTGAGACAAAGGCTTCCAAGCTAAAACCTGGAGTGTGTCAGCATTCACTGCGTGGCTGAGGGGCTCGAGGCCGTAGGAAGTAGAAAGTTTCATAGTAGAAAGTTGCATCTACTTTTCCAGTGATACCACCATTTGCGCGTAATGCCGTAGCTTACACAGACGGACGGCGCCTGGGCCCAGCGCCGCAGCTGCAGCCAGCAGTGTGCGTTGGTGTGCGCAGCTTTCTCCGCTCACCAGCGTCCAGACCCTTCACCACGCTCAGCCTGCTGCTCTCAGCTGGGTCTCCGGAGACCCGGGAACGTTTCTGGAGTACAGTTGAGACTTCTTGAAACGACTGTTCCTCCTTTTTGGAAATGACAAATTGCATCATACACAGACATATGCACACAACATTTTAATAAAAAATAAAGCCTAAAATAGACTCTAACTCTTAAAAAACCTTTTTATAAAAGAGGAAGGGAAGGAGGCCCTCGTTGTGGCTGGAATGCTGACAGGGTCCTTGATTTCCAGTGGGGCCAGCTGTTACGAGACTCGACACAGGAAGAGGTGGGATTGGCTTCTTTGGTTTTGACCTTACGTGCAGGGAGAAGACAGCTGCTCAGAGCATGCTGGAAAGCAGATGTGGTACAATGATGCGGTGTTCTGCTTGTGAGGATGGGAACACCTGAGACTGTTTGCTGCCTGGTGCCTAAAACAGCATTGCTCAAGTCGTGCACTAAAAGGAACCTTGAACACTGTCCAGCCCACCCCGAGCGCCCATCTCTGTTACACCGAGACGTGTGAGGAGGAGTCTGCTGCCTCGTGGCTGTGTGCCTTGGCTTTCCAAGTAGGGGTCTGGATAGCTTTTCTCCATGAAAATTCAGGGGTCTTCAGTGCCGTGGTGGTGACCTGTCATCCAGGGGATAGCGTCCTTAGCATAAGACCGGAGCGTGGGTGATGTCGTGGACCAGGGGTTTGCCAGCCATGGCCCATGGGCCAGTTTGGCCACCCCTCATTTTTGTAAATAAAGTTTTATTAGAATACGGCTATGCCCACGCAGTTCCCCGTCTGTGGCTATGTCTGTGCTACCGTGGCAAAGCTGAGCAGTTGCCCCCAGGACCTGTGGTCTGCAAAGCCAAAACTATTTACTGTCTGGCCTTTTACAAAGAAAGTCTGCCAGCCCTGCTGCAGACTGGAAGCGTCTAAATTCCACCTCAGTCTTCGTTAACATTTCCTCTTTCAAAATGCACGAGTCCCCGTCATGGGTCCTAGGCCTGTGGGACAGTGAGCATAAGGAACGGCAAGAGCAGAGCAGAGTGAGCTGTGCGGGAGCCTGGCCTGCCTTCCAGCCTCACCCCGCCTCAGCCCCTCCGCCCTAGTCCGTGGCAGCTGCCCGTGGCGGTTCCTTCTCAGTTCGTTAGGTCTCAAGGGGACAATTCTTCCTCTGGCGTTGGAATCTGAGGGCGGGTCTCTGAACGCTGCAGAAGTGTGACTGGCACCTCGCCAGGCCTGGCTGACGACACGCTGCCATCTCTCACGCAGGGGCACCGACCACAACCTGGTGGTAGCATGGGCTGCTTACATGCAGCACAGGGCTCGTAGGTGGTCGGTCTCCGAGGCGTCCCCCAGGGTGGGCCAGTGAGTGCGCAGCCTGGCCGTCTGCCCGCTGAGGCTTGAGGAGAGAGGTCACAGAGGGGACTGATGCCAGCTAGGACCCGGTCTCTCAGGGTGTCCTTTTCAATCCAATTTTTAGACCTTGTCTTTCCTGGGTTTTAGAGACTCTTGAGGTTGGTAGAGTGTAGCAAGAACGTCCTAAATCCTTTGAAGAGAAAACAAAGCAGGGAGTGAGGAAAAGGATGGTCATACCCAGTCTTCTTTTACCACTTCAGTACAAGTGGCGACTATAGTCAACAGCCACAGATGAACTCGCACAGCTGAGCAGCGACTATAGTCCATAGCCACAGATGAACGCGCACAGTGACTTTAGCCAACAGCCGTGATATGAAGGCACACAGCTGAGTGTCAACTTTAGCATTAATAACAAAACTTGACTTTTCTAATTTTTCATTTATCAAAATAAAATTGTGAACATTTAAAAATAACATAATGAAACATATATGTATATGTTACCTATTCTGATTTATATTATAAGTAAAGCTGCCTATAAAGTAAAACAAGCTTTCAGTGCTTTCAAGCTTTCCTCATCACACAAGAGCAAAACGGATTTGTCGTCAATGCACAGCACAGACTGTCGTGTGGACTGTGAGTGCCGGCTGTGGCGAGGGTTCACGGCCGGTGAGCGCCGTGCCGAAGTGGTTAAAGGGCAGCCCCCGTTTCTCTCAGTGATGCTGTTTAGGTCTTTGGGGACCCCTGGAGGACCCGATGCTGTTAAAGCGTCGGGGTCTCACGTGGCGGTGGGTGTGGGGAGAGGGATGAGCGTGTTGAGGAAGACAGTCCCACATCTGGCTCAGCAGTGAAGCTTCTGGGTTTGGAGCCAGCAGGCTGCTCTTCCCTGCTCTCCTCCGCGTGGTGACAGCCCTGGGTCTTTCTGCGCATCCAGCTGCTCTGGACTGGAGAAAATCCTTGTGTCGTTCTCAGGCGGGTGTCTGTGAGGGTGTGTTTCTGTTTCCTGCTTTTTTGTGTTTCCCCATAGGTGTTCTGTAAGCCAGTACTTGATAATGTAACAATTAATCGAGGGGTTTCTGATTTGTTTTTATAGAAAAGGATTTCCTGAGCAAGTCTTTAATAGATATATTGATGTGTCAGGTGACTTACTGTCACATGAACGTCTCAAACACGAATTATGTTTGCGGGTTCTTAGTCCTGATACAGGCATGTGCTGCATAGTGATGTTTCATCAGTGACGGGCCACACGTATGAAGGTGGTCCCGTAAGACTGTAACGGAGCAGAAAAACTCCTATCGCCCAGTGACATCACAGCCGTCGTGGCCTCACGTCGAAATGCATCCCTCTCATGTTCGTGGTTGATGTTGGTATAAAGAGACCTGTGCCGCTGGTCATACAAAAGTAGAGCACATACGACTATATACAGAACATAATACTTTGATAATGACAACCATGTGACTAGTGTATTCGCTATACCGTCAGTATATACTTTCTAACCGTCACTTCGCAGTATACTACTCCTCCTCATAAAAAAAGAACATGACGGTAAAACAGCCACAGCAGGTCCTCCACGAGAGTCCCGAGGAAGGGGAGTCACAGGAGTTGGCAGGTCCACGCGCATTGCTGCCCCACAGACCTCCCGTGGGACGAGACACGTGGTGCTGACGACCCTGACCCTGTGCAGGCCTCGGCTGGTGTGTGTGTGTCTTACACTCTTGCACAGGCTGGAGTGAGGGCGTGATCACAGCTCGCTGCAACCTTGATTGCGTGGGCTAAGGCAGTCGTCCTGCCTCACCTCCCAAGTTGCTGGGACTGTAGGTGTGCACCACCATACCCAGCTCATTTTTAAAATTTTTTTTATTTTTTTGAGACAGAGTCTCACTCTGTTGCCCTGGCAACAGTGCCATGGCATCAGCCTAGCTCACAGCAACGTCAGACTCCTGGGCTCAAGCGATCCTCCTGCCTCAGCCTCCCAGGTAGCTGGGACTATAGGCATGCGCCACCATACCCGGCTAATTTTTTTTCTATGTATTTTTAGTTGTTTGGCTAATTTCTTTCTATTTTTAGTAGAGACTGGGTCTCGCTGTTGCTCAGGCTGGTCTTGATAATTTTTAAATTTTTTGCAGAGATGGGTTCTTGCTATGTTGAACTCCTGGCCTTGAGTGATCCTCCTGCCTCAGCCTCCCAAAGTGCTGCGATTACAGGTGTCAACCACCATGTCTGGCCTACGTTTTAGTTTTTAACAAAGTTTAAAAAGTAAAAAAAAAAAAAAAAAAGTTAAAAATAGGAAAATTCTTGTAGAATAAGGATATAAAGAAAGAAAAATATCTTTGTACAGCTAGCTGTACAATGTGTTTTAAGCTAAGTATTACTACAAAAGAGTCAAAAAGTTAAAAAAAATTAAAAAGGTTATAACATAAGCTAAGGCTAACATGCTACTGAAGAAAGAAAAAAATTGTTTTTTTAATGAATTTAGTGTAGGTAGCCTAAGCGTGTAGTGTTTACAGAGTCTGCAGCAGTGCACAGTACTGTCCTCACGCTCGCTCACACTCACGCACACACTCAGAGCAACTCCTGTCCTGCAAGCTACACTCACTGTAGGTGGCCTAGACAGGTGACCATTTTTTGTCTTTTTTTCTATTTTGTTATGTTGACCATTTTGCTATGTTTTCACTGCACCTGTTCTGTTTGGACACACAGACACTCTGTACTGTGTCACAGCTGCTTGCAGTGTTCAGCGCAGTGTTGTGCTGCTCAGGTCTGCAGCCAGGAACCACAGGCTCTGTTGGTAGCCTAGGTGTGTGGTAGGCTGTGCCACGTAGGTTTGTGTGCGTGTTCTTGTGTTCCTGCACGACAAAGCTGGCTCGTAGCACATCTCAGAACACGTCCCCGCAGCTCAGTGATGCGTGGCTGTAGTGAACGGCTTGCCAGCCTTGGGTGTGCTCGAGGGTGTGTCTGGAGGGTGCAGCGGGAGGGGGGGTTGCATAGACGGGAACTGTGCTGTCAGCTGCTGTGTATCACAGAGATTGTCCACACCGGGAACAGCACGGACGTGCTGGGTCTCACAGGCCAGCTCTAGGGGCCTGGGTGTCTGATGCCAGCCAAGCTCTAGCCCTGGCCTTCCCTCCCTGGCCGGTGTGGGAGCGCTTCCTCGCGTGAACCTGGGCCTGGAAAGCTCCTTTCCTGCCGCTTGTCTCTAAAGGTCTCCGAGTGACATTTCTCCTTAATTTCCTGAGCCGTGTGAGGAGATGTTGCTCTGTGAGGCTGCCTCCCTCTCCTCTCTTGCAGCTCCCGGAAGGCTGCAACTCGGCTCAGCAAAGGCGTGTGAGCAGGGAGCTGTCTTGGGCCAGCCAGAAATGCGCCTTTCACTCCTCGTGACACTTGGGAAGAAGTTTCAGTCTGCGTGAAGCTGACTGTAGGCTGTCGATGGGTTACTGTGGCATGACCCAGTGGTTTCCAGAGCGTTGTGGAGGATAACAACGTTCTTTACGATTCAGCAGAGTCTGTGTGTGGGGAGGGGGGCGGGATGGTGGTCTGGTTGCCAAAAAAGTTTGGGGAACGCTGAACCGAACAGAAACGGAGTCAGAACATTTCTTTCATTTCAGGGTTTATGACTGGGAGTCGTGTGTCCATTGTGACTGTCCTAGCAGGAGACAGTCTTCAGGACCTTTGTGTTAGGTGGTCAGGGACCCGCCCCGTTGTTCTCCCATTGGGGTGCCATTCACAGGTCTGGGAGGCACCCACCTCCCTCCCAGCGCCGGGTGGCCTTGCAGCCTCTCGAGTGCCCACTTCCCTCCTCCCACTGCGGCTGAGCAGAAGGGCTCTTGGGCCCGTTTCCCTCCAGAGAGTGGCATTTGTCCCCACCCCCAGAGAGTCTCATTTCCACTTGCAGATTTATTTGTCAGTAGCTAGACCAAGTTTATGTCTGTTCCCCGCTGGGGAATTATGAAACCTTCCTGGTTTGCCACCCAGCAGCACACACCGAGCTTTCCTTGGCAGTGTGCAGGGAGCAGGCAGCAGCGCTCTGAGAGCCGGGCTGGACAGGGCCACCTCCCGCTTCCCAGCCGCTCTGTGGCGGGCAGTAGGGGGACGTACCTTAAGATTTCTCCAGTGTTTGACTCTTACTGTGTTTCCTGAAACAATCAGAGAATAGAGATTCAATGAAAGAGACTGTGTGCCTTGAACCCTGCAGGCTGCCTGCCGAAGCCTGCCTCTGGCCACACGCACCCCAGGGCAGGGGGCGCCACGAGCGCAGGCCCCTCACCGACACGAGCACTGCAGTGCGTGTGCGCCCACCTGGCTGGAGGCGGCGGTAAGTGGGGAGATGGGGGTGGCAGGTGGGTGGGCGTGAGCTACGGCGGGAGAGAAGGGCCTGCGGGGAAGGGAGCGGGAGCCACCGCAGGGAAGGGACAGGCAGCGTGCTCAGGCAAGCGGTGCTGCCACTGTGACCCTGCTGTGACACTCCGTGATGCAGAACGAGCACGCGTGGTAGTCACGGGTCTGTGAAGACCATGACTGAGGTTTGGACTCGGTTGTTTTGAAAGCATTTGATGTTCTGAGGCAGAGCTTTTAGTAGCGCCCACACAGCAGTAATTGTTGTGATGGCTGTGTGTGAGTGAATGAAAAGTAAACAGATTTGCTGTATTTGCATATACCTGGGTGTCAGCAACACGCGGTCTTCCCAGTGGTAGCAGCGTGTTCTGTGTGAACATGTGTGACCCAGGGGATTCCCCAGCCAGCACGCCCAGCCATACCTATCCATGCGTGTTCACATGCACAGCACAGGGACACACAGCTCCTGGGTGGAGCATGGCTGCATGGGGCTGCGTGTCTGGGCACATGGATGTCTTGGCCCAGCCTGCATATCCCACAGCACTCGGTCCCCAGGGCCACCCAGCACCCTGCGGCCCACATGCAGGACACGCAGGGGCCTCCCCGAGACGCACCTGTGTGGGGCTTTCCTGAGGCTTGTGCTCTCACAGCTCTCTTTGAAGCAGACGTCCTGGTGAACCTTGTAGACTCTCTTGTACCTGTCGTCACAAGAAAGCTCTGTAAAGCCAGACGGGGAAGCAGAGCGTTGCCCACCGATCAACCTCGCTGTGTGGACCCATGGGGAACATGAGGGTGTTCGAGGGAAGAGCTGTTATTTTCCTAATAAAATATTTCCTCCTACAGATGCATTAAAATACACAACATAAAGGTCCTGTGATTTTTTTTTTAAAGTTTACTGATGTGTGATACACATAGAATATACCCATTTTAGTGTACATTTTGATGAGTACTGACAAAGCCATGTGATATTGAAAGATAAAAAGACATGTCTTTGCTTGAGGCCACGTGGCCCAAGGCCCTGGGGGGGAATGACCCACTCTTCTGCTTCTCGGGTCTTCTGTGGAGAAGCTCGAGAAGCCAGGGCTGCATGTGTGGGCGCCACAGGGCAGGAGGCCTGATTTCAGCCCTGCCTCTTCCACTCATTCACTGGGCTACTCTTGAGCTTTTAAGCCTCAGTTTTGTGTAAACTGGGGATTGCTCACACTGTGTCTCTCACAGATTTGTAGATGAGCATGAGTGGAAGGTGCTGTGGCTCTTGTCAAGGCTCTGGAATGTCAGAGCTGTTTAAAAGGGAAACTCGAGGGGTTCAGTGGGCAACGCTCCAGTTCATATGCTAAGTGCGGCAGAACCTTTAGGATTCTAAACCCAAGGTAAGACTTTCTACTTCTGGCCATGAGACAGTAACAGGGTCTGGAATTAACCTCTTAGTGTGAACAAAAAGAGAACTGGACAAAATATAGGAAGTAACTATTTTCAGATGTTAGAAAAAGACTGTGATCCCTAAGAGAAGAGAAACAAATGAGACGAGCCCTATGACCAGCCCAGAATTCAGCCCGGGGCACTGTGAGGACGGCTTTGCAGACGGGAGGGATCCAGGCAGTGGTCACTCGGAGCTGAGGACCGACTGGAGTTGTGGAGGCAGACACTGGAGAGGGGAGGCTGTGCAGAGGAAGAGCTCCAGAAGTCTGCACACGGGTCCCCATGGATGAAAATCACGCTGTGCAAGCAGGGGGTGAAACCCCATGTGGCTGGGCAAAGAACTACTGAGGAGTTGAACAGGTCCCAGAGCAGAGTAGAGAGACCTTGTTTAATGACAGGCTGTCCCATAGAAACCCCAGAAAGACCATACCATCCAAGTGGGCCAAAATCCACCCCAGAATAAAGGCTACTCCAAACCACTCTCAAAAGGCACAAACTATACTCAGCTAACCACCTTGCAAAGAAAAGCCAACGTTCTTGAAAAGAATACAAAAAAAAAATCCAGCACCCAGTGACATAAAGTTTATGATATCCAGCATCCAATAAAAAAATGAGACATTCAAAGAATCATATGAAGAATCAAAAAAAAGAAAAAGTTGCCCAAACCTGGAGAAAAATAATTCAATAGAAAAAGACCCCAAAATGCAAGTGATGACAGAAAATAACAGATAAAGATCTTCAAATATCTGATATAAATTGGGTCCACATGTCCAATGAGACAAATGGGTGATCTAAGAAAGAACTAAATGGAACTTCTAGACATGGTAAAACATAGTGTCTAAAATGAAAATTTTATTGGATAGGATCAGTGGTAGATTAGATACTGCAAAAGAAAAGAAAAAATCAAGAACCTTGAATGTACAGCAATGGAATCTAGCTAAAACGAAGAGCAGAGAGAAGAAAGACGGAAAACCTTGCAAAGAGCTGCGGTGACCATGGGACACGGGCACAGCTGGAGCCCCAGAGGGAGGAGAGAAGCAGAGGGACAGAAAAAAACACATCAAGAAATAATGGACTTAACATTTTTACCCCCATAATATGCTGAAAGAAAAAAAAAGAAATGGACAGATGTCTCTAAATTTGACAAAAGCTAAAAATCTAGAAATCCAAGGAGCTTAACAAATTCCAGAGGATAGAAACACACACATAGCTACGCCACAGCACATCATAATTACACTGTCCAAAACCGGAGACAAACAGTTACGCTGGCAGGATGGTGGCTGAGCCCGTAGCCGGGCTCCGGGAGGTGAGACAGAGCCTGTGAGCTTTGAAGGTGAACGAAGGTCACTGTGACACCTGTTTTCCAAAGCCTTGTCGAAGCTGGCAGTGAGAACGCCAGGACCAGCACCGCGTGCGCTGAGCACAGCGGCAGCGCAGACGGGCGTCCTTCCGCTGTGGCTTTCAGAGTATTCATCGCCTCAAGTGTGGCAGCCACATTTCGGAAGAAGGAATGAAGACTGTTCAAGGAAACAGATGAGCAGTAGCAAGTGATGACACTGAATGTTTACCTGATGCCATGAATTAACATCACCATAAATTATGTAGAAAATTAAAAGAACAGAAATAAAGAGAAAAGGTAAAAGCAACCGCCGGGTGGGAAGACACCGAGTACAGTGGAGCACAGACAGGAAAGACTGCCGTCTTCCCATCTGAAGCCCTGCACACCGGAAGACAGAGGAAGGCCATCTTTAAAGTGCTGGAAGGGAAAAAGCAGCTGACCACCGGGAACTCTGTATTCAGCAAATAATCCTTCAAAAATGGAGGTGAAATGAAAACCTTTTTAGACAAAAGCAGAGAGAATTCACTACCAGCAGACCCGTGCTATAAGGAATGTTACCACGTGGAGTCTCAGATCTGCAGGAAGGAGTGAGCGGTGCTGAAGATGGCAGACGTGGGGTAGGCAAAGACTGTTCCCTGTCGACACTGAAAAACACGAGTGTCTGCTGAGAGCACAGTTCACAGCACACGCGGAAGTAGAAAGTCTGGCAATGACAATTCAAAGGGTGGGAGGGCATGTGGAAGCGTGTTGTCATGTTGCTGTAAGTCTGACATCATACTGAAGTTGTACGATAGTGATTAAAGACACATTGCGATCAGCTGAAGATGCACATGGCAAATCCTAGAGCAACCACTAGAAAGTAAACCAAAGAAGTATAACCAATAAGCTAATAGTAGAGGTAAAATGGAATCCTAAAAAATATTTACTCTTAAAATTAGGCAGGAAAAGAGAAAAAGTGACAAAAGGCAGATGGGGAAAATTGAAAACAAGTAGTAGTATGGTAGACTTAGACCCAGCCATGTCAGTCATGGTAAATGCAATTAATGTAAATATCCTAAACTCCAATAAAAGGCAGAGATTGTCAGGCTGGATATAAAGCAAGACCCCACTATGTGTTAAATACGAGAAAGTCACTTTAAATACGCAAACAGGTTAACAGTGAAAGGATAGAAAGCTCGTGGCCCTCACTGGGGACTTGGCGGGCACCTGATGTGTGCCTGGGGGTCGCCAGCGGGCACTGATGTGACTGGCACAGCTGGAAGAGCGTGGGCTCTGGATGTGGCCACTGCACAGCACCCCAATTCTGTGCCTGCCACCGTAAGCACCCCAATTCTGTGCCTGCCAGTGTGGCCCCCAGTCCCAGCCAGACTGGTGTCTCGATGTGCCCCACGAGGCATCGAGCCTGACCGTGTGCCCAGTAACGTTCTGCCGGCACCCTCCCACGTGCCACCCCCAGAGCAGGCAGAGTGGTCTTTAGGAAGGTCGGCAGATGTGTCCCTCCACTGCTTGGGACCCTTCGGCTGCTCCCCCTTTCGTGGAGAACAAGCGCCAGAGTCTCCTGAGGGTCTCCCAGGCCCCTCGCCCTCCCGCCACTCCCCACCTCGCTTGCGTGGCCCCGGCCCTGCCGGCCTCTTCCCCTTCCCCAGACTGGTCTGGCACAGGCACAGGCACGCTCGGACACAGGGGATTGGTCCCTGACACTGACAGGAGTGTCCTCCCTCCCATCCGCCGCCCCGCCTCTGGCTCCCCTGGTCTCCCCCGTCCGACTCTTCTTCCCTGGCTCTTGCCACCAGCTGCGGCACCACTCGACACACTGGCACTCCCTCTTTCTCGTCTGTGCCCCGCCCCCATCTGGGACGCAAGGGTCCCCAGGGCAGAGCTGTGGTCTGTGCTGCTCACTGATGCGTGCTGAGTGTTGGGAAGGGTGCCTGCACGCAGTAGGTGCTCAGTAAGTTCGTTGTTGGCCAAATTGATGGTGTGACCCACCGAGTCACAGAATGTCAGCAAGAAAGGCCCTAAGAGATGAGCGAGGCAACTCTCCCTCAGCTGCCCATTTTATAGGTGGGGAAACTGAGGCATGAGTGGTTTGCCCAGGGACACATCGTGAGTTAATGGCAGAACCGGGACTGATGTTCTCTGTGCTGTGTGTCTGTGCGAGCCTGCCCTCCACCGGGGCTGGGCCGGGCTGCCCTGGGTGTGGGGTGGGGGGCTCAGGGGCAGGGAGCCGGGGCCTGGGTCCTCCTCAGCCTCCGCTCCTGGCTGCAAGGACCCGGGCAAGTTACTCCGTCTTTCTGCCTCACTTTCCCGCCGTGTCTCGTGAAGGGAGCTGGTCCCTTGTGTGTCTGGGAACACATCCCTCGTCAGGGCTGGGTGGGCCAGACTCTGAGAAAGCACTTCGAAAAGTCAGGGGCGCTCTAGAGCAGGGGTCCTCAAACTTTTTAAACAGGGGGCCAGTTCACTGTCCCTCAGACTGTTGGAGGGCTGGACTATAGTTTAAAAAAACTATGAACAAATTCCTATGCCTGCACGTATCTTATTTTGAAGTAAAACAAACGGGCAAAAACACCGGCATGTGGCCCGCGGGCCGCGGTTTGAGGACGCCTGCTCTCGAGTGTGGCAAGGCTGAGGACACAGACCGACTTACATGTGGTGGCAGACGCCTCCCTCCCAGACCGGAAAGGACTTTGTCTCCGAGAACAGCCGCGTGCAGGGCCGGGGCACCTTCTTGCAGGCTGCGGCAGGAAGGAGAAGGTGCATGAAGAGCTCTGTGCTGAGGGTGCTGTCCTCCCGCCCCCGGGCAAGACCCGCCTGAGGGGACCCTCAGCTGCCTGCTGAGCTAGACGCCCACCCCCAGGGCGTTCGCAGGGTGGGCCGCCGTAGCCAGGCGTCCTCGCAGGCCGGTCCCCCTGAAGGCAGGAGAGGCCTCGGGATTGAAGGTGGGGTGGGACCCCTCTTGCCCAGTCCAGTGTTGCCCTCCTCCACCACCCCACTGCCCCTTCCCTGCAGCCGCGCCACCGTCGTGCGGGCCTGTTCCGAGGCCCCTGTACCCGCAGGACCTCCTGTCGCGGCTCCTCGGCGGCAGTGCCCTCCCTGTGGCTCACAGGTCACCTGTGAGGTCCCTGCCTAGCATCCCCGTCTGGGGGCCCCCACGGCAAACCCACCCGTGGCCCGGTGGTCGTGGGTGGTGGGGCCGAGCCACAGGCGGTTGCGACAGGCGTCCCGAGGCCACGCCCTGACTCACCGAGCTCGCAGCGCCTGCCTTTGAAGCCCGGCCCGCAGTCGCAGCTGTGGGTGCCAGCGCCCGGCACGCAGGTGCCTCCGTTCTGACAGGGGTTCTCTGAGCAGTTCCGCGGGGCGTCTGCAGACAGAGGCCACGAGAGTTTAGTCACTGGGCCCCGGGGAGGCCTGCTCGCAGGAACGCGTGTTGGCTCCTCTTCCGTGCTGACCCCAGATGCAGGGCGGCCACGCTCTTTGCAGTGACAGGCCTGTCCCCCTCCCCGCTGTGGCTCCCAGACACCACTGGCCCTACAGGGTGGTCCCGTGTCAGGTGTACAAAGAGAGCAGAGGGGAAGACGGGTCTCGGCATCCCTGGCCTCATGACAAGGAAGGGAGGGAGGAGAGGAGGGGGCGGGGAGGGAGGAGCAGGGCCCTCGGTGCTGAGCCCCCACTGGCCCGTGGCCCCCGCCCACTTGCTGCTGGCTTTGTCCCCACACAGGGTTTCTTTGCTGGGAACCTGGCCCACTTGGTCCCGCAGCCCCAGGCAGCCTCTGTGTGAGGCCGGCTTGTCTTCAGGACCGCGGCACACGCCACACTCTGGGCGCCGGCACACGCCACACTCTGGGCGCCGGCACACGCCACACTGGCCACGAGTGTGTTGTTTTTGTCTAGCTTTGTCAAGATCCCTGTTGTTTTACTTTTTAACTTAAAAACCATTGAAAAGCATAGGAGAGTAAGAATTGTGTCTGCCCCATGTCATCAATACGGAGCCGGCCAGCCTCCCCGCTCTGACTCGGCGACCCCGCTGTGAGCGCCCGTCCCCACGGGCACCGGCCTAGGAGTCTCTCCTGGGCTGTCCCCTCCTTCCTCACTGGGTCTGTTGCCTTTCTCCTTTCTCCCCCTTCTTTGTCCTCTGGGACTGTCCTTATCTTTTTGTTTTTCCTGATGTGCTGAAAATGAGTTGTGGGCTTCAAAAAAAACCTTTTACTGTGAAAATTTTCAAAGCTACAGCATGTGAAGTATGAAGAGCCTGCTGCACTCCGCTTCAGTGGTGGCCAGAACTGGCCAATCCTGTGTCGTCTGTGTCTATCTTTTGTCACTTTCCTTTCTCTTGCTGAATAATCTCAAAGCAGTTCACAGATACCATTCACCATTTCACCTGTATACACAGGCATGTGATACTTCACGTGACCGTGATGCTATTATTGTAAATTATCAGCAGTCCCGCAATATCGCATGATGTCCTGGACCATGTTCACTTTTCTCCGATCATCTTAAAAGTGTTCTTTGCAGCTGGTCTAATCCAGGTGGGGCTGAGCTCGTAGAATCAACACCTTCCTTTGTGTGATGTGTCTCGAGTCTCTTCACCTACACCCTGCAACCGTCTCCCTCTTTATTTACTGAAGACACGAGGTCACTTGTCCTTAGAGTTCCTCTCCGGGATCTGACCTGTTGCACACTTGTGGCGTTGACTTTTCCCGCCCCCGTTTCCCGCAAACGCTGTAATGAGACAGTGGGGCCATTGGATTCTGGTTCCCATGGTCTTCGCAGGGCTGCCTCATGCGTAGGCTCGGGCACCGCCAGCCCCACTGGGGCACGGGGTGGGTCTGAGTCCCGCCTGAGGGATGTGAGGGCTGATCCGTCCCCAGTAAAGTCCCCAGAGGCCTTGCTCGCACCTGAGGGTTGGAGCGGCCAGCGGGGCCCCCTCACCAGACGCCTGCACGTGCCCCCTGGCCTCGCAGGCGGGCCACCCTCAGACCCACACCTCTACCAACTGCCAGGCCCCCTTGGGTTGTTGATGGATGATCCCACCTGAGTCCCTGGTGAGACTCGGGAGACAGGGCCACTGGCCCCTAGGAGAATGTTCCGGAGGGACGCGGCCCGAGGGCCAGAGCAGGGAGACAGGCAGAGTGGGGTTGACTCAGTGTAAGGACACGCGTCCTTGTGCGCTGTCCGTGGGGAGACGCCTCCTGAGCCGCTCTGACCGGAGGTGCTGGGCAGGCTCAGGTGCCCTGAGGGATGTACCGGCCAAGGTTCTCCTGAGGTGGAGCACGGACCAGGGACAGTCCCGGCCCTGAGCATCCTGGGCGTCCACGGGGCCCAGCCGCCACCTCCACTGACTGCCGCCGCCCTGACTGAACGTGCTCCTCCACGGAGAGGCGAGGGGGTCTGTGTGGGTCCTGCCCTCTGGCCACCACTGCGGGGTGGGGGGTGCTGTCTCTGCCCTGCCCAGGTGGGCGCTCTGGGGCTCCCGCCGCCTGCCGCAGCCTCTGGGGCCCTAAGAACAATTAGTCCCCAAATCACCACCACCACCACTACCGACTTACTGCTGATGTCCTTGTCACTGTGCTCAGGGAGTCGGAGGGCCAGGCTGACCTGCGTGGGGGTCTCCTCCACGTTCTCGAGCTGCGCCGGGACTGTGGGCTCTAGGGGAAGCCGGGGGTGACCACGTGGCACGGACGCTCCATGCTGGAGCCTCCCTCCTGGGCTGCTTCTCTCCCTCAGGGATGTGCCTCGGGGGGCCTGGCCCCTGGTGTGGCACGGGGGTGGGGGTGCCTGCTCACCTGCTGGCCCCACACCCTCCCACCGACCCTCAGCAGGGACCCGGCCTTCACCTGAAGGGCCCACAGAGCTGCCTGGGCTGTGCTCCACGACCCTGCACTACTGAGAAGCCTCTTCCTTCTGTAGCTACGCCATTGCTCTCCCTTCTCAGGGTCAGTCTCTGTTTTCCTCCCGCTCCAGCCCCTGCTTCACGGGCTACGATGCCTCCTCCCCTCTTACTTGCCCCCAGACTCTGCAGACCCCTGCCCTTCTCACCCCCAGCTGCAAGTCACTCTGTACGGGCTTCTCACCTGCACCCTCAGGAATCTCGTGCCTGCTCTGGCGGCTGCCAAGTCTGATCGCCCATCTCTGCATCCCAGATCTCACCCTGCCCCCCACTGGGCATCCTGAGGGCAGCCGACCGCCCATCTCCACAGACGCCTGGCCCTGGCCCTGCCCTCCTGCTCGCCAGGTGGCAGTGACCCCTCTGCTGCCCTCCTCTCACCCTCCCTGCTGCACACCTGTCCTTGTCCCTCCGTTCCTTGATGGGAAGTTTTTGTTGGTTGAAATACTTGTTTAACCAGAGACCAGGCTCCCTGTTGGGGAGTTCTGTGAGGACGGGCACTTGGCCTTACCTGCTTCCCTCCTGCCAAGCACGGTGGCTCCAAGTCAGAACCATGGGAGGCCTGCCACCTGCAGGTCCCTGCACCCCCTCACGCCTTGATGAGCTGGGGGAGGGTCCAGGCTGGGGCATCTTGACCCATCTGCCCCAGTGCTGCTGGGACAACCTTGCTAGGGATGGTGGCCAAGGCTGCTCACGCCCTGTGGTGCCTGGCAAGGCTGGGAGGCCCAGCGGCCTGCCCCAGGTGGCCTATCTGGTCTCGGCCTGAGCAGGACCACGACCCAGGCCTGTGGAATGTGGTCCTAAGCGTGGAGGGCACACGTGTCCTGGGCCATGCCAAGCACACGAGTCACTCAGCCATTGCTGAAGGACAGATTCCGACTGGCAGCTCCACGTGGGCTCTGCTCTTGAGGAGCTGTGGGCACAGCTGGTCCTGCTGGTCCGGGGAGGATGTGACTGCCACAGCCTGGGACAAAGCTCAGAGTTCTAGCCTGGCAAGCAAAGTTTCCGGAACGTCTCAGACCCACTTCTAACATCTTTACTTTCCATCCTGTCCTGCGTGCCCTGCCAGCACCTGGACTGAGCACTGGCCAGGTGCCTGTCCCTCCACTGTGGACCTCACCCTGTTCCTGCGGCTGCCCGGGGGCCCAAGCACCACCAGAGTCCGGTCCCTGGCCAGAGACCACGTTGGACGCTGGGGTGGTGGTTAAGCCCAGGTCTCAAGGGCCTTGTCACTCCTGATGCTGGGGACAAGGGCTAGGCAGGCATGGTGGCGAGGCCTGGGCTGACCTCTGGGTCGGGCAGGGAGCGCGGCACTCACGTGACTGCGTGGGGACCGACTTGCTGGGCGAGCTGCCGAACCTGGCGCTCACTCTGCCCCTGCCGTCCACGAGCTCTGAGAACCTGCGGAGAGCGCGGAGTCACCATGGCGAGCACGGCCTGCAGGACGGGCTGACGGCCGGGCGCGTACCTGGGCGGCTGGGTCGGCATCTCGGGGGCACCGGGGTCATTGAGCAGGCGCAGCTCCGGCAGGCGCGCTGGGGGCGGTCTGTTTCTGAGCACCCTCGGGTGGTGTCCTCCCTGGTGCCAGCGTCGGTGGGCGCCGTCCCCGGGGGCTGCAGAGCAGGCGGGGGAGGGGAGTGGCCACACGGGCGCGGGCTGCTTTGCTCCCGCCCTGCCCCTGCCGCCCTGGGGGGCTGCTGGCTCCCAGCCGGGCTTGGGGTGTGGATGTGCACATGGGCTGTGGCAACACATGGGGTTTGGGGCTCCGCGAGATGGGCGGGACCCCGGCTCGTTCCAGCCACCACGTCCCTCTGAGGGACATGCACACGCCCTCGCCTGGGAGTCGCCAGGCAGGTCCCAGACCCCCCAGCCCAGACTTGAGCTCTGTGTCCACAAGGCGGGGTGGGGCCCTCGGACTCGGCCCCAGGCTGCCCTGAGACACAGCCGTCCCCAGCAGTTGGCTGTCCTGACAAGACACCTCAGCCGAGGCCCCCACTCCGCTCCCACCCGGACAGAGAGGCACCGTGTGTCACCCTGGGGGGTCTCCCAGGCGGGCCCTCGTCGTGTGACCAGCTCCCTTCCCCTGGCAGGGGGCAGAGTGGGCCTGAGGCCTCTGTGTGCCATTGCTCCCTGGTGGAGACCGTGGCCCTCCGTGGGGAGCTGCCCCGCCTTGCAGCTGCCCGCCTGCTGTGGCTGTGCTCTGCCCCTGCTCTGCCTAGACACGGTTCCCGCAGCGCCTGCCGTGACCTTGAGATGGCAGGGTGCACAGGACCCAGTGAGACCTGGCAGGCCCCTGTGCACTGGGGACAGACCCCGGTTCCTGGCGTGGCCATCGCAGCCTCTGTGTGCCCAGCCGCCCACTCATGCCTGGTGCCCTTGGTTCGGGGGCTGCAAGGCACCTTCCAGGCCCTTCTCCTCGCTGCTACCTGGGCACCGTCCCGGGCGATGCCTGCGCTCCCTGCTCTCCCCGTCTGGGGCCTACCACGGGCCTGGCACAGACGAGGCTCCACAAGCTAATCTGCCCAAGTGGTCACGGCCGCCTGTCCCCAAGTCCTTCCTTTCTGCGCCAATTTGAAAAGCCCCTGCCCACATGCGAGCTGCTCCCGGGCGATCAGGGGCCCTGTTTCTGCAGTGTGGCAGGTCAGGACACCACGCCCCAGGATGGCTGTCCCCGCTGGTGGCCCACAGCCCCTCACGGCCAGGTCAGTCCTGACAGTCCGGAGCGCTGGCCCAACACCCGGCCCCACCCGGCCCCAGGGCCCAGGCGCAGCGCTCACAGGTGACGATGTAGAGGTGGGCGGGCTCGCTGTGCAGCTGGCCGTGCTCGGCGCTCTGCACGGCCGTCACCGACAGCTGGTACCGCCGTGCCGGCAGCAGGTCGCGCACCGTGTAGGACACCAGCTTCCCGTTGGGGACGTAGCGGCTCTTGGTGCTCTGGCTGGTGGTCACGTTGATGACGTAGGCCTCCAGCAGGACGCCTGGTGCGGGGGCGTCCCAGACCACGTGGGCAGAGGTGGCCGTGACCCGGGTGGCAGTCAGGTTCGCAGGAGGCAGGGGCCCTGGACAAGGCGCAGGGACAGGAGGCGAAAGGCAGGGACACGGTTTAAGGATCTGACGCGGCTGCTCAAGCCTGCCTGGAAGCTCGGTTGTTTATCACGAACAACTCTGTAGTCCTAAAGGACGGCGTGCAGTGTGTTTGCAGCCGTGAGCGTGTGCTGCGTGGAAGCTCTGCCACCCTGCCCCAGAGGGCCACTGGCCCCGACGCTGCCCCTCCCGGGTTTGGATTCGCCAAGCGAAGTCCCCGTAGTTGTCCCGTCTGTCAGCACCCTCATGTGTGGCAGCTTTGCGGCACCCTGGAGTGGAGTCCCCGCCCCCTGGTCTTCACGTGCCTTCCCCTGCGGCTGTGTCCTAGGGGCGTGGGGGAGCAGCCCCCACAAGGCACAGCTGTCCCCAACGGACACATTCCCGCTCTGGTCCTCGCTCCTCACAGACCTGCCCGCAACCTCCCGGTCCTCCCCGGGTGCCGGGTTGGGTGTGGGCTCAGCTAGTGTGGGCTGGTCGCCTGGTCAAGAGCCCTGGGCAGTGTGGGTGCCTCTGGCCCTCGGTCAGTGTCTCACAGGGGGACGCACTGAGCCTTGGGTGCTGAGGCCGACCGCAGACAACTGTCCCCAGCGGGAGGATCCAGGCCAGCCCAGCACAGTGCTGCTGCCCGGCCGTCTCAGTGGAAGAGACTTCTGGGAGGCTCGGGGCTGGGTTTCTAGTGTCGTGGACACTTCTGAGAGGACTGGGGGATGCTGGAAGGGGTCAGACCTTTTAGAAGAAGGCCCTGCGTGGGCCTTGGGCCACGTGCTCCACTTACGGGTCCACACGTGCACTGGTGTGGTGGCCAGGCTCTCCGTGGGCTGCTCCTCTTCGCTGAGCCCGCTGAGGGTGGTCACCTGGATGGTGTATCTCCTCCCTGGCAGCAGGGCCCTGCGGGGGGCGGGGGAGAGAGGAGGACACACATCTGAGACACACGTGTCTGGCTCACAGCTGCATTGCAGCTCCCTCAAGCAGGACGTGGCCAAGGACATGTGTCATCCTGCTGCTGGTGGCCCAGGCCACCTCCACGAGGGACAGATTAGTGGCCCTCAGACCGTGTGCTCCCAGGGTGGAAACCCACTCCATGGTCCGTCCAGCCCAGTGGGAAGGACGAGGAGGCCACAGTGTGGCCAGGGGCTGGGGCTCAGGAGAGGCCAGAAGGGAGCGAGTGGAGAAGGTCGCCGGGCGGAAAAGGCCACGCAAGGCCGGTGCTCCCCGAGAAAGGCCTGCTGGGAACAGGGACTTCAGAGGGCTCCCCCCCACCAACAGACCGGGGGCTCCCTGCGCCTGAACTGTGGGTGCGAACAACGTGGTTCACGTGGAGCGCCTGCTTCCCTCCTGCAGTCTGGAACGTCCACACGCGCCAGGCAGCCGCCCACCCCAGGAAGCCGCGCTGCGTCGTCTTTCCACTGCGCGTGCCTCCCAGCCATCGGCCTGCTCCGCGCAGGAGACCAGAGGCTTCCCTCTGACTGGCGATCGGCACGCGGGGCCCTTGCGGGGACCCCCGAATGCGCCCCGTGCTGTCCCCCCAGCCTCCCTGCCCCGCTCTCCTGGCGGCCAGGCCACTCTCTCGGCACCTGCGCAGGAGGTATCTGTGCCGTCCCCGGCCTTCCTACCAAGGCACCTGCTCCGCACGTGGCCCCGAGATCCAAGCCTGTCGGCGCCAAGCCTCATCCCAGACCCGCCCCACCGGAGGAGGAGGAGGAGCAGCTGGGCCGGGAACACGCGGAACACGCCCTGGACCTCGGCCCCCTCGTCCCCGAGGCCCTGCTCTGTCCCCACCCAGGCCCCCTGTGGTGGGCTTCTCCTCTTACCCAAACGTGAACCTGTCCACGCTTTTGTCCACGTCGGCGGACTGGTCCTGGGAGGCCTCAGGGTGGTGGAGGGACACGCGGACCCGGCTGACGGTGGCGTGCTGGATCCGGTGCAGAGCCCACTGCACCGAGATGGTGCTGGCCGTCACGTTGGCGACCTCCACGCTCTCCACAGGGCGAGGTCCTGGGGGCAACAGGCGGCTCAGCGGGTGCCGGCCCTTCCTTGCTCCCAGGGAGTGGGGGCTCGTGCCGAGACCAGGCCTGGAAGACCAGGCTGGGGCTGTGGAGAGGTGACGGGGGGGGGGGCCCGGCAGCCACGGTGCGTGGCATGTACCCCATCAGCCGCTCAGCGGGGACTCTGCCTCCAGAGGTGACAGCTGCAGGGGGCTGACTGTTTGGACCTAGGAGATCTGACAGCTGAGCTGCTCTGCACCCGTGTGGCGCTCTGCCCGTCTGCCCTGCCTGCCAGCCACGCAGCAGCCACGCAACTGCGCACGTCCCTGCTCCGAGGGCCTTTTCCTCTGTCCTCGAGCCACCAGCGCCTTCCTCATTCTCACTCCTGTCTCTCGAGGCCACAGGCATGTTGGCCGAGTCTCGAGGCCCCCATAGCCGACCCCACCCTGGGCTCCTGCGCCGGCTGCACCCGGAGCTCCTGTGCTGGCCCCAGGCTCGGCTCTGCGGGGGCAGCCCTCGGCCCTGCCCTGGTCCTCCCACACGGCGTCTGCTGTGGCCTGTTCTGGGGATTCTCTCCCCACCCCAGGGCGTTCCAGAGCAGACGAGAAGCTAAACCCTCAAAGCCTTCCCCAGACGCCCCAGTTCCTAGTCTCATTCTCAGCAGTGTCCCCGCTGGCCACGGCCCTCCTCTCCTTCTCCCCTGCCCAGCATCCTCCCAGCTGCGGGCTTGGTCCCTACTCCTTCCTCGCCCCTGCCTCCTGGCTTCCGGGACCCCCTGCCTCAGCCCCACCCCTGCACGTGGAGACCCCTTCCTGCCTCCGTCTGCACCCTCCTCCTCAGAATGGCGTCTGGTGACTGCGCTCAGCACCAGCCACAGGCTGAAGGCCCGGGTTTGCCCTTCCCACTGGGGCTTGCTCCTAGCACGCACCCTGGCCCGGCGGTAACAACTCCCCCTCACGCTGTCTCCAGACCCCCCTGCAGCTCCACCCTCAGAACATGGCCAGAGCCCCCACTTCACCCTCACTGGCCCACACTCGTGGCTTCTCCCAGCCACGCCCAGGCAGGCAGGCGGAGTGTGCTTGTCACAGCCTGAGGGTCACACCAGCCACTGCTGGAGACTCTCCACCGGCTTCTGATTTCGCTGGGAAAATCCACAGGGCTCCGACCTGCCCCTCGGCCCCTTGCTGCTGCCAGTCCCTTCTCAGGGGGCCCTGCCTCCCCGCTTCCCCCTCACCTGCCATCTGTCACTCTCCCTCTGAGCTGGGTCCTGTGTCTGACACCTGTGAAGCCCCACACCTGCTTATCACGCTGTGTCCTCAGCCTCCGTCCCAGCAGCCTCAGCTGCGCAAGCCTGCACGGGAGGTCTGTCCCACCCCCTCAGGCGCGGCCTGCGCGCCCCTCCCTCGGCTCTCAGCGCACCGCTCTCAGGACACGGGTGCCAGGGCAGGGCGGCCAGCGGGCTGGCGGCACTCACGCGTGCGGGCGAGCAGCACCGCCGGCCTGCTGATGTCGTTCTTGTTGTTGGCGTTGCGCTTGACCGAGAAGACGGAGATGTTGTAGGCCCTGCCCGCCGCCAGGGCCCGCAGCTGGTGCGCGGAGCGGCTCCTGTCCACGAAGTCTGTGCGGCGATAGGCGCCGTCCGCGGAGACATAGGTGACTGCGTAGCCATCGAGCGCCTGCCTGGCGGCCGGGCCGTCCGGAGGGCGCCAGGAGATGGAGACCCCAGTCTCCTCCACCTTCTCCACCGTGAGGGCAGTCGGCGGGGACAGCTCTGCAGCGTTCGGGTGGAGACACGGAGGGGCGTGGTCGGCTGCCTGCCGCGTCTGCCCTGCCCTGCCCTGCCCGGCATCTGTTCTGGGCCTGGCGCAGCCCCCGTGGAGTCCTCCGTGTCCCTGGAGCTCACACTTCCCCACGTGAGACGCGTTCTGTGTGCTCCTGGGGACTGTGTCCCCTCCCTGTTTCTCAGGTAAGGAGCCCGGACAGGCACCTGCCTGGACACCTGCCCTCAGGTCCTGGCCACCCCCCCATCACGGACACCCAGGCCACCTACCTTTGGCGCAGTCCTTGCCCGTGTAGCCCACTCTGCAGGTGCAGCTGTGGGACCCATTGGTGGCCAGGCAGTAGCCGCGGCCCCCACAGGGGCTGGAGAAGCAGGGGTCACTCACTGGGGGCGGGAAGAGCAGCCGTGAGCGCCAGGCGCCGCCAGCCCCCGCCACAGCCTGGCCTGGCTCCTGGGCACTGAGTCCTTCTATGTGGGGGAGGAGGGTCCCGCGGCAGCTCCTGCCTCCCCCAGCTTCGCCACCCTCGCCGCCCTGGTCCACCCTGCACAGCCGAGTGCTGCTGGCCAGGCCTACCCTAGGGGTGGGGACACTGGACGGAGGCAGGTTAGGCCACCGCCCCTGTAATGCTCTTGTCCTAGGAAGGGAGACGAAGTGGCAGGTTGGGCAAGAGGCGACTCTCGAGAGCCCTGGAGCACCATGAAGGAGGACGGTGGTGCTGGGCAGAGGGGGGTGGGTCCCCTGGGGACAGTATTCCGGGGAAGGGACAGTGGGGCCATTCGGGGAGAGGTGAGGCCACCACTGGGAGTGTGCTCGGGTGAGATGGGGCTGTTGGGAGGCGGGTGCTGGAGTGAGGTGGTGCTTGGACGGCACAGTCAGGCACCACGGAGACCAGAGCGAGGCCACTGGCCTGAGAGCGGAGGAGGGGCCTTCTGGGGAGGTGGCCACAGGGCCCGGCTGAGCGGGCAGCCTGGCCCTACCTGTCTCACAGTGGTAGCCGAAGAAGCCCTCGGGACAGACGCACAGGTAGGCCCCGCCGCCGTTCTCGCACCGGCCTCCGTGCCGGCAGGGGCTGGAGTCGCAGGCGTCCACCTCTGGAGAACACCCAGAAAGTGGGCCCCACCGCAAGGGGGGAGTCTGGGGGAGGGAGCAGAGGACAGCGGGAGGAAGGGAAAGGGGAGGTGGAGCAGAGGCAGGAGGGCGCAGGCAGGCTCCCAGAGAACCCTGAGCTTCCCCAGTTAACCAGCAGCCCTGGCTGTCCCTCTCCCCAGTCGCCCGTCCAGCGGGGATGTGGGGACCCACCCACCCCTGATCCTCGAGGACCTGCCGGAGGGGGGCCTTTACCTGTTTCGCAGTGGGTGCCGACAAAGCCCGCAGGGCACTGGCAGACGTAGGCCCCTGGGAGGTCCCTGCAGGAGCCCCCGTTCCTGCAGGGCTGCGCCTGGCACTCGTCCTTCTCTGCAGACAGAAGGGTGTTGCTGGCCAGGTCGGAGGCTCCAGCCACCCTTGCCCTGCAGCCACCGCTGTGTACGTGGCCTCTTCCTCTACCAGCCCCCGCTTGCTCCTCCTGGGGGCCGTGCCACCCCCGCTGCCGGCCCACAGAGCCCCCGCCCCCCGGCTGCTCCCGAGCTGCCTGCTGGACTGGTGTCTCTGTCTCCCGGCTCAGGCCCTGCAGAGGCACGAGGGTGGTCCCTGGGTGCTGGGCAATGTTCTCCCTCCTCCAGCTGGCACCACCAGGCCTGGTGTCGGAGGCTGCGACCTGCCCTCCCCGCTGCCCACCTTCTCTGCGCCCGAGGCCAGCGTCTGAGGCCAGATCAGTGTTTCCCAGCTGAGCTCAGTCTCCTAGGAAGGTGGGCTCAGAGATGTTTGTAAATCTCTGTCCTGGCTGTCAGAGCTGGCAGGGGTCTAAGAGCACAAGCAGTGACCGACCTGGCTGTCCAGACAGAGACCTGTCCAGGGAGAGGAGTGGCGGGATCCAGGGACCATGGCCAGGGGACCCACTGCCTTCAGGAGCGTGGCCAGGCCACTGGAGCTGCCACCCTCCGGGGGCCAGGACCCGTCTCAGCCAGCTAAGAGGGGCTCCCTCACCCGGTGCTGCAACAGGGTCCCGGCGGGAGCCCCCAAGCAGGCACAGCTGAGACTGGCACTCCCCAGTTTCTTAGGGCACCCCAAGAATAGAGTAATGTGGCTGTCACTAAGCCACAGTATGATGGACATAAATTAGTTTTGAGGAGCCAGACGGAATTCTGTGACATTCCCTCGGTGCGTGGAGCACCATACCCCAGGGCTGGCTCTCCTTGCAGGGAGGGGCAGGGCAGCGGCCCGGGGCCCAGTGCCTGGCTGTGTCTGTGCCGTGACCAGCGTCAGGGCTCACAGGAGACACTGTGGGGTTGGATTCCAGTGGCTCCCAGGGGGACAGGCCCAAACTCCTCTGAGGTTTGGCGGAAGACGTCTCACATCCAATCGTCCCATTTCAATATGCAACAATCTTGTAAGAAACCACATTTGGGGACATGCTTAGTTTTAAAAGATTCACCACAGGTTTCTTTTAAGCTGGAAGTTGTGCTCCTGGATTTAGATGTTTAATTTTAGAAAAGTTTGATTTTAATTTGTAAAACGTAAGTAAACGGTGATGACTTAAGGACACCTGGACGAGCACTGCCCCGGGAGCTGGACGCTGCCGGGTCCACCTGGGCACACGCCCGCCCCTTCCCCGGACGCAAGCCCTGTGCATTGCGTGAGTCACACACGGTTTCGTTTGTGTTGCTTATGAACTTTATTAGGATATCGTGATATGTGTTCTCTCATCTCACACAGCATCTTCAGGGAGCTCCGTGCCGCCAAGCGCCACTGCGGCTCTCTGATTTTCACGGCTGTTAGTACTGTTACGTGGTGTGTAGCTTAAAGACAGTCACGTCAGCTATAAATACTGACATGTTTACTTCTTCCTTCCACATGTTCATGACTTTATTTTTTTCACTTTATTGCATTGACTAGTACTTCTTTTTTTTTTTTTTCTGAGACAGAGTCACACTCTGTTGCCTGGGTTAGGGTGCCTTAGCGTCAGCCTAGCTCACAGCAACCTCAAACTCCTGGGCTCAAGCAACCCTTCTGCCTCAGCTTCCCGAGCAGCTGGGACTACAGGCATGTGCCACCATGCCCGGCTAATTTTTTTCTATTTTTTAGTCGTTTGGCTAATTTCTTTCTATTTTTAGTAGAGACAGGGTCTTGCTTTTGCTCAGGCTGGTCTCCAACTCCCGAGCTCAAGTGATCCTCCCGCCTCTGCCTCCAAGAGTGCTAGGATTACAGGCGTGAGCCACTGTGCCCAGCCTGACCAGTACTTCTAATATATTGATTAGAATTAGTGAGAAACAGGCATCCTGGTCTCCAATCCTAAGGGGAACTCTTCTCTATTTAGGTGATGTTTATTCCAGGTTTGAGGAGCAGCATAGGAAAATGGTCTCAGCAGCTACTATCCTTTCTTCTGTTGGTAGCTCAGCATGTCTGAGTCAGCCCAACAGAAGAACAGCTTTTGAATTCCGGATCCTCCTCCTGTAGGGAAGGCTCAGCGAACTCCCCGCTGCACAGCTCTCTGGACGTAGCCTGGCTCTCTCCTCTGAGCACGGGCAAGTCGAGGCCAGTCCAGTTGCGCCTGCTGTCAGCGTGGCTCTCTGGGTGCCGAGCACTTCCGGGGTCATGTGGGCTCTGCGGCTTCACTCTGTTAAGTTCTTCCTCTAATAAATCCCATTTCACTGTACACCACGTGGTACTAGAGGTACGTATATCATGCTACTTTAATATAGACGAGAAAGTACTTTTTTGTTCCTTACTGGGTATGAATTTTGTCAAATGCTTGTGATGCACTCATGAGATTCTTATGATTTTTCTCTGATCGGTTAATGTAGCAGGTTTTTCTAATATCAGACCTTCCTTGCAACAACCTGACTTGGTCATGGTGTGTACAGTCTTTACAGACGATTAAATTCTTGCATCTCTGTTTCTATGTTTAATAGACCCATAATTTTCCTTTCCCTACTGGTTTTGGTGTCGATGTTATGTTGGCCTCAGGGAATGGGTTGTACAGATTTATATTCTTCTCTCTGTAAGAGTCTGTGTAATACTGCAATGAACTGTTCCCTGGCAGTTTGGTAGAATTTACCCATAAAATTGTTTGGGTCTGGTGTTTCTTTGTGGGAAAATGTTTTAACTACTGCTTCAAGTTAAATAGTTGTAGGACCATGTAGGCGTTCTATATTTCCTTGAGTCATTTTTGTTAGTCATATTTTTCTGTGAATATTATGTCCATTTATCCTAAGATTTCAAGTTTATTTGTATATCACAGCTGATAGTGTTCCCTTATAATCTTCTCAATCTCTGCTGTGTCTATGGTTTTATCACCTTTTTCATTTCTGAAGATTTTTGTGTTGTTTGTTTTTCTTGATCAGTCTTCATAGACATTTGTCCATTTTATTAGGCTTCTGAAAGAACTAATCTTGGCTTTCTTTTTTTAATGCTTTTTTTATTGTTATTATTGTTGTTTTGTTTTTTGAGACAGGGTCTCCCTTTGTCACCCTTGGTAGAGTGCCATGGCATCACAGCTCACAGCAACCTCAAACTCCTGAGCTTAAGCGATCCTCCTGCCTTGGCCTCCCAGAGTGCTGGAATTACAGGCATGAGCCACCACGCCCGGCCTATCTTTTCTTTTGTATCTTCGATTTGTATTTCATTAATTACAGCCTTTACCTTTATTGCTTCTTTCCTTTTGCTGTTTTTATTACCATTTGTTATTCTTTTCCTAACTCCTGAAGTCAGATATTTATTTCATAAATTTTGAAATCTTCTTCTTTTCTATCATGGGTATCAGGCTGTTGATTTCTTATAAAGCATTCACTGCTTGGCTGCATCACACAGGTTTTGATGCATCAAGTTTCTATTGTCAATTGCTTTAAAATATTTTCAATGTCCACTATGATTTCCTCTTGCACCCATGAACTATTTCAAAATAATCTTCAAAAATATCTGAAATCTGCATGCAGACTTAAAAATATATCTTCTTGTTATCCAGAAACTTAATTTCTTTGTGTTTAGAGAATGAATTAGCTCCAAGTGTTAACTGTATTGTTCAAATCTTCTATCTCTTTACTGATTTTGGGGGCTCCTTAACTTGTCATTAATGGAGAGAGGTGGTTTAGAATTCCCCAGTGTTATGGGGAATGTCAGTTTTGTCCTGCAGTTTATTATTAATAATGTTCATTTTATATGTATTGAGACTATGTATTAAAGATGCCTGAATATTTATGATTGTATCTTCTGGTGCCTTGAACCAGTTGTCATCGAGAGAGACCCTCCTCATCCTTAACGATGCTTTTGCCTTGCAGCCTTTTCTTCTGGTAGTGATGCAGCTATGGCACCCGCTGCACTTTGGTTTATAGTTACCTGGTACGTTTTTCTGACTTTCATGTTCAGTCTTTTTATGTCCTTGTATTTCAGGAGTGTCTCTTATAAGAACATATAGTTTCTTTTATTTTGTAATAAATCTGACAATCTTTTATCTGGAGAGTTTAGTGCGTTCATATTTGTCTATATTTTTTCTAGCATAATTCTTTTAAATTTTAGTATTTGCCACTTTTTTCTGATTTTTTTCTCCTTTTAGAGAGTGGCAATCTTATTGCAGTATTTGATAACTCTCCTGTCTCTTATCTGGGTTTATCTTACTATTTGTGTACTCCCTCCCAGAAAAGGGACCCCTTTTTGTTTTGCTAAGCTTCTGAAGCTGTGTTTGTGTGAGAATATTTTTATGATGCTCTCACATTTGAATGAATAAAAACTTTTAGGTGTTAAATTTGTTTATTCCAGTATTTATCCTGTTTAGGATTTGCTGAACTTCTTGGATTTGTCAGTTGATGTGTCATTTTTAGAAAATGGTCTTCAAATGCTTCCTTTGCCCATTCTGTCATCTGCTTCTAGGACTCCAGTTAGGAGCTCACTGGTCTGTTCAGTGTTGTCTCACAGATCTCTGACTCTCTGTTCTGTTTTCTAAAAGTTCATTTATTCACAATTTGTTTTAAAGTTAATTTTTTCTTTGATCTGCAGTTTAGATAACTTTGTTGTCTTGTCTTTTGCATTCTATGTTTTTTCTTCTGTTGTTTCCATTCTGTTAAGCCTTTCCAATTTATTCTTCATTTCAGATGTATTTTCATATGCATTTCAGATATATTTTCAGTTTCAGAATCTCTATTTTGTTACTTCAAAATTCTTTCCTGCTTAAATTCTCTATTCTCTCATTCACTTTGTCTTTATTTTCTTCTGTTTTCTTTAACATATTTATAAAGATATTTTAAAGTCCTTGTCTGTAAATTCCAACGTCTGGGTCATCTGTTTCTATTGACCATTTCTTCTCTGGGTTATGTGTCCTGATTTCTTGCCTGACAGATACAGTATGTGCAAGAACGTGGTGTTTTCTTGACACTCCAGTGGGAGCGAAGTATTTTGTAACTGTCCGCACCCTCCCCAAAGGGACAACCTAAGTATTCACAGATTTTCCTTTAATTATCTGTCATCACATGTTGCTGTTGAGAAGTGTGATGTCCATCTGATTCTTGTGCCTTTTGCAGATGACCTATTTTTCCATCTGGATATTTGAATTTTTTTTTTTTTCTCATCTGTGTGATGCTTACATTTTACTACAATGTGTCTTGAGAGTTTGTTTCCCTTCTTTCCTGTTTCACGCTCTGGGCCTTTTCACCTGTCACTCATCTGTAGTTCTAGGAGTTCAACTCCATCGGCACGCAGAATTCCCTCCTTTCCCTCCGTCTTTTCTCTTGTCCATGGCCCTGCTGTCTTGCTGTTGGCCCTCAGATCCTTCTCCTACCCCTACCGTGCCCCCACCCCTATCCTGCCCACACCCTACCCGGTCTCCACCCCTACCCTGTCTCCATCCCTACACTGCCCCCCCCTGCCCTGCCCACACCCTACCCGGTCTCCACCCCTACCCTGTCTCCATCCCTACACTGCCCCCACCCCTGCCCTGCCCCCACCCCTACCCGGTCTCCACCACTACACTGTCACCACCACTACCCTACCTGGACACCTACCCTGCCCCCACCCCTACCCTGTCCCAACCACTACCCTGCCCCCACCCCTACCCTATCCCCACCCTTACCCTGTCTCCACCCCTAACCTGTCCCCATCCATACACTGCCCCCACCCCTGCCCTGCCCCCACCCCTACCCTGTCCCCACTCCTACCCTGCCCCAACCCCTACCCTGCCCCCACCCCTACCCTGTCCCCACCCCTACCCTGCCCCCACCCCACTGCTCTCTCCTCCACGGCACCTGCACTTTCTGTCTCTCCCTGCTTCTTTCCAGGAAAGTTCTTCAAACTGATCTTTCAACTCACTGACTTGTTCTTCATCTGTATCCATTCACAAATCATGTTTGTCATTTCAGTGACTATAACTTTAATCTTCTTATTTCCACTTTCTTTTTTAATGACTTCCTGATCCTGTTTGCATGGCCTATGCCAGGCTTACTTTTGTACCTTTGCTTCTGTCCTTCTGCTTCCAACAGCACATGTTTTCCGGACTTTTACTGCTGTGTCTCGACGCAGCTGCACTCTCCAGGCTTCCTGGTGTCCGGGCTGCGCGCCCACGTCCCTGAGGGTTCTACTTCTCTGGCAACGCGTGGGGGGAGCAGGGGAGGGGTGGTCTCCAGACAGAACCGAACTCACCCTGGGCTTGAAGGGACGGGAGTAAAAGAAAGGGGGTCCCCTCTGTTTTCCCGAACGCTTCGCCTGAGCGAGGCCGCACGTGCTGGACGTGGCCTTGCGGGGCATCCGGAAGGTGGTGGCACACGTGGGCCCTGCTCAGCTCGTATGCCGGCCCCTCTCTGTGCTTATTTGTTTAAAAGTCCTTGTTTCACAGAAACCGTGTTGACACCACAGGTGTCCTGGAGAGCAGTTTGGGCTGCTGTGGCTCAGTGCCCCGCCCCTCTGGGCCCCATCAAAGGGGGCCCCCGTCCCCGGGCCATGTGCCAGCTCTGGGGCACAGATGTGTCACGACTCACCGCCCTCCCGGATCCCTGGCACCCCAGAGCCCAAGGCGATGCTCTCAGAGCTGCTCCTCAAATGCTACCGGAGAAGGGGATCTTGCTCCAATGCAGGCGCTGAGCCCACAGGTCTGGGGGTCCTGACCTGCATCTGCCCCGATAGGACTCTGCCCTGGGGCTACGTCTCGGCCTCTGCTTCCCCTGCGGCGTGAGTGTGGTGGTGTGTGACACCCAGCTCCTGCTTCTCTGGGGACAGGGAGGCCCACAGTGAGTGGTCCCGAGCAAAGCTGCCAGGGATTGTCCCTGCCTGTGCTCCTCCATAGGGCCTGGCTGGAGGGTGTGGGCCCTACCTGCCCCGCCCCCAGGGGCCCAGAGAATCACCGAGGCACTGGGGAGGCTCACTCCAAACACCCCGAGGCTGGCAGATCCGCATGTGGCTGGGGGTGCTCAGCCTGTAGCCGTGGTCGCACGCATACAGGGCCACCGAGCCTGGCCGGGTGCCGTTGAAGCGCAGCGTGGCATGCTTCACCTCCTCTGGGGGGCCGCAGTCCACCTCTGCAAGGGACAGCCGCCTGTCCCACACTGTCCTGCACCTGACCGACCCCCCATGCTCTGCCCTCTGTCCACCAGGCTGCAGGGCCAGGTAGGGCCCTTCCAGCACCGTCCTTCCCGGGGTGGGGGGCCTGGGAGGGCTGTCTCAACCATGGGAACTGGCTCCCCGGGTGCGTCTTTCTCCTGCCCCCTCCCGGCCCCGCCCAGCTCTGTGGGTAGGAAGAAATCCCACCCCCCACCCAACCCCATCCCTCTCACCTGCCTGGCACCGGCGTCCCGTGTACCCCGCGTGGCAGTGGCAGGAGAAGTCCGTGCCCAGGTCCTCGCAGGTGCCCCCGTTCACGCACGGGCTGCGGAAGCAGGGGGAGGGGGCTGCAGGACGCAGGGGGTCCCTCCTGAGCTGTCTTTGCCAAGGGCCTCAGGGCCGGACAGGGCATCCTGTCCCCCACACCCAGCTCCACTCACGCCCCAGGGCCGGGAGCAGCCCTGCCCGCTGGGCCTGCTTTCGCAGCCACAGACACTGTCCCCAGCCACACCGGCCTGGCCCACACCGGCCTCACCTATCTCGCAGTGCCGTCCGGAGAAGCCTGGGGGACAGTCACACTTATATTTGCCGATGTAGTGGAAGCAGGTGCCGCCGTTGTGGCAGGGGCCGGAGGCGCACGAGTCTGGCTTTCCTGGAGGCAGAGGCACCCGCTGGGTGAGGTGTCACGACTCACCGCCCTCCCGGACCCCCACACCCCAGAGCAGGGCATCTTCCCGAGCACGCCCGAGTGGCCACGGCAGCCTGGGTGGCCCATCCTCCCGCCCTCGCGCCCTGGGCCGCACCGATCTCGCAGTGCCTCCCGGTGAAGCGGTAGGGGCAGCTGCAGTGGTACTCGCCGGCCGCCTCCTTGCACGTGCCACCGTTGCGGCAGGGCCCTGAGCTGCACAGGTGTGGCCGGGCTGCGCAGAAGGACAGAGAGAGGCGGGTCAACAAGGGCCAGCCCTGGCCCTGGGAGCCCACTGCCCTCTGCCGGGTCTTCTCGGTCCGCTGGCCCTGGGTGGGCCTGGCAGGCAGGGCACACACGGGGGTGGGGCGGGCGTGGCTCACAGGCTGGAGACCCCTGCTCAGCCTCACACAGCAAAGGGCCCACCTGTCCTCTCTGCACAGAGAATCAAGCGTGTCTGTCCTCCCACCTTGACCAGTCACACCCTCACACGGCCAGTGGGGCCAGAATCCCTGACTCCTTCTTGGGGGAAGGTGCGCAGGATGGCCCTGCCTCTGGTCCCGCCGCACCCACCCTACGTGCCGAGGGCCACACAGGTGGACGTCCAAGCTCCGCTGCCCCTCCCTGAGAGCAGCCACGGCAAGTCCCCCCTTCGTCCCTCCTCTGTGCCCAGCAGTGTCCACACTGGTGGCTCCCCCTGCTCCCCTTAGCAGGAACATGGTGGGGAGAGGTCTCTGCAGTTCCTGGGGTGGGGACGGAACCAGCAGGGCAGGGACACTGGGTGCCGGGACCTGGGCAGGGAGCAGGTGTGGCTCTGGACAGGATGAGCCCTGGGTGCAGGGGCCTCTGCACCCCTCGGGGGGCGTGCAGCTGGGCAAGGGCCAGAGCGGGCCGTGGGTGCTGTGGGTGGTCCCAGGAACCTGTCAAGGTAGACCTGGCAGCTCTGCAGGGAACTGAGCAGTGGGCCTTCTCTTTGGAAACCCCTCCCTGCTGCATGCGTGGGGGGAGGCATGTGGTCCCAGGGGTCAGACTGTCGGGGTCCTGCCCTCGGGGACATGGCACAGAGCAGGAGAGATGCCCTGGGAAGGTTCCAGGTGAACCCAACGAGGTGCTAGGGTTCCCAGTTCCTTAGCCCCAGGAGGACGGGCCACGCTGGGGTCAGGTGGCACCCTGGGCACCGGCCAAGGGATGCCGGGCGTGCTGGAGGGTCACCGGTGGGCGTCCTGGGTGGGCGCTGGGAAGGACAGCTCTGCACACCCGCGGTGCACTCACCAACAACACTCATATTTGCTTCAAGTGGCTAAATGTTGTGAAATGTCGACATTCTCCCACTGAATGAGATCTAACCCAAGTCCTAATGAAACTTAAAAAAAAAAAAAAAACTTAGTGCAATGATTTTAAAATCTGTCTGTAAAAATGCTGAGCAGGAAGTGAAGCCTGTTGGGAGGAGAGCAAGGTCATGACCCGCCGGCCTGGCACTGCCGCAGAGCGCAGGGCAGCGCTGGCGACAGAAGCACCACAGGCAACAGACGCCCGCAGAGCTGGGGAGCGCTGGACCCTGCAGAGCTGGGGCGCGGCAGCCCCTGAGGAGATGGGGAGCAGCAGCCCTGCGGAGATGGGGCGTGGTAGCCCCCGAGGAGGTGGGGAGCACTAGACCCTGCGGAGATGGGGCGTGGTAGCCCCTGTGGAGGTGGGGAGCACTAGACCCTGCAGAGATGGGGCGTGGTAGCCCCTGTGGAGGTGGGGAGCACTAGATCCGCGGAGATGGGGCGTAGTAGCCCCCGTGGAGGTGGGGAGCACTAGACCCTGCGGAGATGGGGCGTGGTAGCCCCCGAGGAGGTGGGGAGCACTAGATCCGTGGAGATGGGGTGTAGTAGCCCCCGTGGAGGTGGGGAGCACTAGACCCTGCAGAGATGGGGCGTGGTAGCCCCCGAGGAGGTGGGGAGCACTAGATCCCGCGGAGATGGGGCATAGTAGCCCCCGTGGAGGTGGGGAGCACTAGACCCTGCGGAGATGGGGAGCACTAGACCCTGCGGAGATGGGGCGTGGTAGCCCCCGAGGAGGTGGGGAGCACTAGATCCCACGGAGATGGGGCGTAGTAGCCCCTGTGGATGGGGCATAGTAGCCCCCGTGGAGGTGGGGAGCACTAGACCCTGCGGAGATGGGGCGTGGTAGCCCCCGAGGAGGTGGGGAGCACTAGATCCCACGGAGATGGGGCGTAGTAGCCCCTGTGGAGGTGGGGAGCACTAGACCCCAAGGAGCTGGGGAGCACTAGATCCCACAGAGATGGGGCGTGGTAGCCCCCACGGAGCTGGGGAGCACTAGACCCCGAGGAGCTGGGGAGCATTAGACCCCGTGGAGATGGGGCGTGGTAGCCCCCACAGAGCTGGGGAGCACTAGACCCCGTGGAGATGGGGCGTGGTAGCCCCTGTGGAGGTGGGGAGCACTAGACCCCGAGGAGCTGGGGAGCACTAGACCCCGCGGAGATGGGGCGTGGTAGCCCCCACGGAGGTGGGGAGCACTAGCCCCCGCGTAGGTGGGGAGCACTAGACCCTGCAGAGCTGGGGCACAGCAGCCCCCTTGGAGATGGGGAGCACTAGACCCCGCAGAGATGGGGTGCTAGACTCCACGGAGATGGGGTGCGGTAGCCCCCGCGGAGACTGGGCGAGGCGGCTGCCGGACTGCAGATGACGTGGAAAACTGGGAAAGCAACGGAGACTCAGACGGTGGGGAAGACGCAAATGGAGGGTGCTCTCCAGGTGCTGGGCCGCCGCCTACCTTTCTCGCAGTGCTTGCCGTGGAAGCCTCGCGGGCACGAGCACGTGTAGGAGTCATCCTGGGTGTCGCAGGAGCCTCCGTTGAAGCAGGGGTCCGAGTCGCAGGGCGACGGCAGGGCTGGGGGCAGAGAGCGATCTGGAGAGTGTGCCTCAGCCGAGCCCGCCGGTCACCTGGCGTCCTGTCTAGAACCAGGGCCACTCAAACACGTCTGCGGTGCCTCGGCTCTCTCCGCCGGCTCTGAAGGCCTCTGGGAGTCTCTGATGTTCTTGGTTTTACCAGATCTCACCTCCCCCCTTTGGGGTAGGGTGGCGCTAAGCCGCAGTGTCCTGCATCACTGTCGTCACCACATAGGACTGTGATCCAAACCCCCGTGATGCACGGGTCATCCACACACTAACGAGCACGTCGCAGTGGCTGTATCTAGTGACACACACCTGCTAGCTCGCGTGGGCCCAGGGAAGACCCCGCGTGGCTTGCACACTTGTGGAAGTGCTCTACCTCCGAGAGCTGACTCAGTGCAGCACGGGGGCGGGGGCCGTGAAGAGAGGTTCCTGCACGTGCGGGTTCGTCCAGAGCCAGAGGGAACCTGCCTCCCCACGGCTGTCTCCTCCCAGACACCCACCCCTGGGCTCTGGCCGGGCCCTGAGCCACTCACAGTGACTGGCGTTGTGGTCGGTGTGGCAGACGCAGAGGTAGCTGCCCCCGTACTCCATGCAGTAGCCCCCGTCCGGGCACTGCGTGTTCATGTTGCAGGGCATGGCTGTGACTTCTGCAGAGAAAGGAGCAGTCAGTCCCGGGTCCCACCTGTCTTCCTGGGGACCCCGTGTCCTCGCCAAGGGTGGGGCTCCCCAAGGCCCAGTGACCCCCAACAGGGTGACCAGGTCCAGGCTCTCTTGTAGCCAGCCCCTCTTGGGGTGGGGTTGGGGGATCTGGGTTCTGGGCCTATAGACCCTGGCCCAGGCCCAGCCACCACTCTTACCCTCACCGCAGACACTTGGGGACAGGGCAGGAGGGTGCTCCCCGTCCCAGCCCTGGCACCTACCGAATTCACAGAAGAGCCCGAAGAAGCCCGGGGGGCACTGGCAGAGGGTGGCATTGGTGCCCAGGCATCGGCCCCCGTTGCGGCACTCACAGTGGCTGGGGGTTCCTGCCATGGACAGAGGGAGGGGCCTCCCATGTGGGGTGCAGGAAGATGGGTTCTCTCCTGCCCCTGCCCTGCTCCTGGCCACTCCCCATAAAGATTGCGGGTGCACACACTCACACTTGCACACACAGCCTCTCATGGCTGTTTTCTGCACGCACAGTCCACGGACAGACCCTCCCTGGGTCTCCCGCCCCAGCCCTGGCCCCGCGGCCCGGCAACCCAGACGCACTCTCCCTGCAGTCCTGGCCCATGAAGCCCTCAGGGCACTCGCACACGTAGCCCTGGTCTGCGTCCACACAGGTGCCCCCGTTCTGGCAGGGCGCCGAGAGGCAGGCGTCAGGCTCGGGGTGGCTTCCTGCAAGAAAGGCAGTGGTCACTGCGGCCACCGTGGCCACGTAGGAGCAGGGGGGAGGCTGAGGGTGGGGGAGGGCTGGCTCCCTGTGCAGTGCCCTCCACATTGCCTGCTGGGTTTAACCTCTGTTCTCAGGGCCAAGTGGGATTTCAGCCAGGAGCTCAGTTTCTGGAAACTGACTTGCTGCGGCCGCACACCTGGCTCAGCACCTCCCAGCTCTTTCTCTGGATGGAAGGAGCACACACTTCCTTATTCTAACATTTAATTTACTGGATATCAATACAGCCACTCCATCCTTCTCTGGAGCAATGTTTGTCAACTTCTTACTTTTTCTTTTTAATTCAGATGTTCAATTTCTTCATGTACTCTTTTTAAAATTTTCAGCATCTTATAGGTGTACAAATATTTAGGTTACGTATATTGCCTTTGCCCACCTGAGTCAGAGCTTCAAGCTGTCCATCCCCCAGACAGTGCACACGGCACCCATTAGGTGTGAATTGACCCATCCCCTCCTCCCTCTCCCATCTGCCCGACGCCCCATGAATGTTATTCCTGTATGTGCTCTTAGGTGTCGATCAGTTAATACCAATTTGCTGGTGAGTACATGTGGTGCTTGTTTTTCCATTCTTGTGATACTTCACTTAGTAGAATGGGCTCCAGCTCTAACCAGGATAATACAACAGGTGTTAGTTCACCACCGCTTTTTGTGGCTGAGTAGAACTCCATAGTGGAACGTATACCACGTTCTATTAATCCATCCATGTATTGATGGGCACGTGGGTTGTTTCCGCAGCTTTGCGATTGTGAATTGTGCTGCTGTAAACATTCGAGTGCAGGTGTTTTTTATAGAATGCCTTTTGTTCCTTGGGTAGATGCCCAGTAAGGAGGAAACATAATTTCCTCCTTAATTACTTAAACTCAGAATGAATCTGAGCAGTCTGTCTGTGGATCTGCCTGGGGAGAAGCTGCCCAGGCTGCGTCCACGGCCATCGGCACCCAGCGAGGCCTGGAGTGTGGCCAGTGGCCGCACGCTCAAGCCCTGTTTCTATGCCGTGGGCTGTAATCCGGCTGGCCTCTTCACTGACTGACCACGTCATAATCAGCGCTGACAGCAGCATGAAACAGAATAGAAAACAGCGGGTTGCGTCGCATGAGGCAAAGGTTCTTTCTGAGTCCCACAGCCCTCCCCTCGCAGGGTGAGGGTTCTGCAGTGGGAGGACGGACGGAAAGAAGACAGGGATGACCCACACTGGGAGACAGGCTCTGGGAACTTTGTCATCCACCGTTGCATTTTGCAGACGGAAACCAAGGCCCAGAAAGGGCAAGAGGTCGCTCAGCCTCACACAGCAGGTTGTGTGGCCTGAGCCTTGGCAGGAGCTTTCTGTTCTCCCTGTGGTCCACAGCTCGGCAAGAGGCTGGGGCAGGGAGGGCTGGGAGGAGGGAGGAGAGCAGAGGCAGAGGAGGGGCTGAGCGGGACAGTGAGGGAGGAGAGGGAGAGAGGGGCTATGGCAGTGGCCCCGCACATGACCGTTGTCACCCATGGAGGGCTGTGGGCACTTGGGCAGTTACCTGTCTCACAGTGAGGTCCCTCGAAGGGCTCCGCACACACGCAGGTGTAATTCCCCACGAGGTCCACACAGGAGCCTCCGTTGAGGCAGGGGCTAGAGCTGCACTCGTCCACCTCTGGGGGGGCAGCAGACGAGGGGGGGGCTTGGCTTGAGCCAGGCTGTAACCGCCCTGCACCAGCATCTGGCCACCGGTCGGAGCCCCACCCCGCCCCAGGGCAAGCTACTCACCCGTCTCGCAGGCTGCCCCCGTGTACCCAGCCAGGCACACGCACACCGCAGAGCCGCTCTCTGCCTGGCACTGGCCGCCGTTTTGACACTCTTTGGTGTCACAGGGGGATTGGGCTACAAGGGAAGAGGTGTGGACGGGTCATTGGACTCGGGCTGTGGTTGCCTGGTGGGGCAAAAGCTCCTGGGGACACCTGCGGAGCCCCACCCCCCACACTCAGCTTGCAGGCAGGGGGCCGGCAGGGGTCTCCGAGGGTGATAGGGGCAGGGCCTACCCAGGGCCGCTCAGAGCCCCGTCTGAACTGGGTCAGATTCAGCAAACCTGGTGGGGGGGCGGAGTGCGTGCTGGGCGGGGGCAGGGGCAGCGGGGATGAACTGACCCTCCCCAGGGCGGTCTCCAGCCACGCGGACGGTGGCGGGAGCTGTTGCAGACCCCGAAGGGGGTTCTGGGGCCCGGGCTGGGACCAAGCCGTGAATATGAAGGGTGCACAGCACCCAGGGGGTAGGAGGGGCCGGATGGGGCGGGGTGAGGGCTGAGGTGGCGAAGGTGGTCCCCCAATCAGGAATGGCCATGCGCAGGGATCCAGGCCCCTGGTCACAGGGTGGGAGTGAGCTGGGGGTGCCCACCCTCCACCCGGCCTCCTCGCTGGATGCCGGCCCTCCTTGATCCCTGGAGTACCTGGCCCGGTGTCCCAGCTCCTGCCTTTGTCCCCACCCCCACCCCCCCACCCCCACTGCAGAGTGGGGGAGGGGAGAGGGCCACATCTCATATCTTGCTGACAGCTCATTCCAAAACCAACTCGATACAGAGAGCAGACGGGGCCCAGAGCACGTGGCACCCCTGGAGTCATGCGGGCACAGTGGGACCCTGCTCCTTGGCGTGGGAAGGAGACAGGAGGGCCCGACCCCACCCCCCAGGAGGTATAGAAGCACTTTGGTGGCTGGGGGCACATGGTGACCCCGTCTCCTTGACCAGAGTGACCACTCAGAGCAAAGCCAGATGCACGTCCTCAGCTATGGCTGGGGGCTCCCTGCTGTGGGCTCAGGGGCTGGGGCGGGCCCCCTGGTCTCAGGAGCCTCTCTGTGGGGTCAGGTGGGGGCTTGTGCCTGAGGGTGTTGCCACAGCCACACCCAGGAAGCCACGGCTCAGGGCCAGGGCCACATGCAGCCAGTGAGCTGCAGAACCAGGACCTAAGCCAGGCTCCCGGCGCCAGGCTCAGGCCCTCTGAGGGCCTCCCCAGGCCTTCCGGAACCTGGGGCGGGCCACTGCCGAGGCGTGGCTGCCAGCCTGCCCGACATTGGCGGGGAGCAGCCGGCTCTCCTCGGAGCTCTGCCCGCCCATCCTGGGGTCTCTCCTCAGGCCCTGCGTCCCCTGCAGCCAGGCCCCGGCCGGCGCTACACGAGGAGCAAGCTTCCTGCGAGGGGGGAAGGAGACCTGCTGGCCTCCCCGGTGGCGACCAGTGGGCAGAGGCCTGCTGGGCTGTCTGAGCGAGCCGCTGCCTCACCCCCTCCCTCGCTTAGGATCAGGGGAGGAAGAAAAACTCCTCTGCTTGGGATGTGCTCTGACCCAAGGGTGCGGGAGCAGCGTGTCCCCTGGGCCCACCTGTCCTTGCTTGTGTGTGACCTTTCAATGCACAAGCCCCTTTTGCCAGCTGGAAATTCTGCTTTGCTCCTTTCGCACCTTAAAATCACATTTCCCCTGCAGAATTTTATTCCCATGTGTTGTTAGGTATGAAAGTCATTTATTGTTATTCAACTATATTTCTCTCCAATAAAAATATGTATATATGGCTGGGCGCGGTGGCTCACACCTATGATCCTAGCACTCTGGGAGGCTGAGGCAAGCGGATTGCTCGAGGTTAGGAGTTCGAAACCAGCCTGAGCAAGAGCTAGACCCCCGTCTCTACTATAAATACAAAGAAATTAATTGGACAACTAATATATATAGAAAAAAATTAGCCGGGCATGGTGGCGCATGCCTGTAGTCCCAGCTACTCGGGAGGCTGAGGCAGGAGGATTGCTTGAGCCCAGGAGTTTGAGGTTGCTGTGAGCTAGGCTGACGCCACAGCACTCACTCTAGCCTGGGCAACAAAGCGAGACTCTGTCTCAAAAAAAAATGTATATATGCTGGAGTTAAACACATAAAACTTCCTGTGGCCATAAATCTATGATAGAATTTTTTTTCTAGATAGAAATAGTGATACAGTTGCTACTTGAACATATTTGATCTAAAGAATCTGTTACATGTTTTTACAACACAGAGCAGCGGGTGCATTGGGGTACATGTCCAGCTGGGCCAATCAGGGAGCAGGTGGTTACGGTGCTTGGATTTTAGGGAATTCTAAAGCTTCCCAAGTGGAGCCCTATAGTGAGACTGGGGGCTGCAGTGGGGGTCCCCCTTTCTTCATCAGGTGTGGGAAGGGCAAGGGTGAAGGCTCAAGAGGTGCTGGTCTGTGGACAGGGAAGTGGAGGCCGAACCTGGTGGCAGCTGCTGCAGAAGAGCAGGCTTGGGGGGAGGCAAGCCTAGCCCCTGCCCGGAGGCGGGAGAGAAAAGCTGCTGGAGCAGCTGGGCTGGGGAGGGGCAGGTGGAGAGAGTGTCGGGGTCGGGCTGCCCACATGGGGTGCCGCCTCCCTGCAGTGGCAGACTTGCTGGGATGGGCTGTCCTAGGCCTCACTCCTGCAGCCAGTGGAGCCACTGGGGCCCGGTGGTTTCCTATTACCTGTCTCACAGGTGGGTCCCCCGAAGCCGGCCGGGCAGCGGCAGCTGAAGCTGTTGACGCCGTGGGTGCAGGTGCCGCCGTTCTGGCACGGCTGGGACGCGCACTCGTTCACATCTGAAACACGGGGTGGGCTGGGGCCTCAGTGGAGGGAGTGGGGCTGGGTGGGGACAGGCGGGCCGGCCCTGAGCTCGACAGGGCAGCCAGGGCCAGCAGCACCCGCCCACCGCACTGGCTGTCAGGGAGCCCAGGCATCTGGTCCCCACAGCCCCCCAAGCATGCCACCCACACTGTGGGGACAGAGACCTTGGTGCCCTCGGCGCCCCTGGTTGTGCCTTCGCTGTGCCTCCTGAGCCCCGTGCAACCCTGTCCTGGGCCAGCCACTCACCCAGGTGGCACCTCCGCCCTGTGAAGCCCGACAGGCAGGAGCAGGTGTAGGAGGGGTTGCCTGTGACGCAGTCGTCGATGCACTTGCCGCCGTTGAGGCACGGGCGCAGAGCCAGGCACACGGAGGCTGCGGGCACAGGGGGGAGCTACAGCCTCACGTGCCGCCTCGCAGACTTGGGCCGGAGAGCCGGGCACAGGGCCACGTCCCCATCCCTCCCCTGACCCAGAGGGTCGACCTCCGGGCAATGACGTGACTGCAGCACTGGTGGCAGAGCCTGCACGGTGCCACTTCCCAGGTCTGTGCAGGGAGCCCAGCACCGGGGACCTGCTGTCTGCCTGGACCTGCTGCCGCAGGGCCCGGAGCTTGGGCTGCGGCTTCTGGGGAGACAGACTCCCCAGAACCACTCTCACCCCCAGCAGCTTCCTGCTGCCTCACTCCTTCCCAACACTGCCACGGACAGTTCTAGAAAGTCGGCATGCTCAGCCTCCCTTCCTGGTTTCCCTGCGTGTAAATTGAGAGGCTGGCACTCAGTGTTCAGAGTCAGTGTTTCTTGGAGCATGGCCTGCCACCCAGGGAGGGCCTCCTGGGGTCCCCGGGGTCTGGGACTGGAGCCTCATGCCCAGTCCCTCTAGGAAGGGCATGGCTCAGGGGGCTCCCGTCCCTGGAGGAGCAAGGCCCTGAAAGCTGCGATTACAAAGCACAGACGGGCAGGTGACTGAAGGATGAGTGGACTCTGCCTGTCTCCAGGAGGCCCCGGGAGACTCGGGGAAGGACCGGGTGGTCCGGCACACCGTGAAGGCTGCGGACGCCTCTGCACTGTTTCTGCTCCTCGCTGGCACCCCCATCCTCTTGGCAGCTCAGCCCTGTCGCGGCTCTGGCTGCGCTGCGGCTGCAGGAGTCCCGCCACCCTGGGAGTTAGACTTCCAGACGTGGCTGCGTGCCTCTCAGGTATGAACGGACCCACCTTCCTGAGGAAGCCCATGTTTACTGAACCCGGGAACTGGAGGCCTGGCTTGCAGTGGCTGTGTCCTGGCTGCGTCCCGCCCCACCCAGCGGCACCTCCTCCCGCGGCTCCTCCCCAGACTTGGGACAGCGAAGGGAAGCTCTCCACATTGGGATTGGGTCCCCGAGGGGCTCTGGGGTCACCTCTCCAGGCTCCCAGCCTGCAGCCCCTCCGGGGAGCATGGGCCCGGCCACACCTGCGCCCCCTTAGTCCTCAACCACAACCCGAGCCCCTGGCCACTGGCGGGTAACCAGACCTCACCGCCCACTGCTCCAGGAGCGGCTGACAGTGCTGTCCCCACGCTCAACCACTCACATGGAGCCCGGGTGGGCAGGGCAGGCGCGGCTCGGGGGCGGGGCCTAGGGCTGCAGGTGGGCTCCGCGCTGGTGCTCTGCTTGCTCTCTGGGCTGGGGGTGGCAGCCCCTTGAGCACATCCTCCCTAAGCTCAGACTCAAGCTGGGGCTTGTTCAAGCCCCATCGCGGGCTCATCCTCGGGTGAGCTCCTGGTGTGCACACTGTCGCCGCGCTACCCAGTGGTGTGTGCGCACGTCCGCCCCCAAGCCGCCCTGCTGCGCATGCAGGTCTCTGTTCCCCACAACCCCCGTGGTGCGCGCAGGCCTGCAGCCCGCTGGTCCTGCCCTGCGCTCGCTGCTGGAAAAGCCGCCAGCTCCAGCCTGGCCGCGGGTGGCAGGTGAGCGGCGCGGGCTCCGTGAAGGCTCCTGCGAGCGGCCCGGCAGCGGCTGCTGGATCGCGCGGCGCCCGCCCCGCACGTGAACTGCGTGGGATGCAGCAGAAGGTTCCGTGACGCCCCAGGGCCGCGCCGGAGCCGGGATCCACCCCCGGGACCTGCCCTCTGCTCGTGCAGTCTGGGCCGAAGGGAGCCCTCCTGCAACTGTCTCCTCGACGCTATGCTCGGGTTTGTCAAAGACACCAAACCCTACCAAGCAGCGAGGCCCTGGCAGATTCGAGGCGATGAGAAAACAGGCCTCGCAGGTGTCCTGGGGCTTCTGGAGACCACGGGATGCCCCTTCCCCGCCACCGTCCGCGGCCCTCATCGCTTGAGGGCCCAGAACTCTTTGCACCCCAACCACCGTCTCCAGAGGATCCTCCGCCACCCCGCCCAGAGCAGAGGCACGAAGGGTTCTCCAGGGAGAAACTGAGGCTCAGGGACCAGCGGGGACTTGCTCAGGTTTGCGCGCCCGTGACCGAGGCGGCCGAGCCAGGAGTCCGCAGCCCCTGCGCTTGTGTTCAGCGTCCCACCCTCCTCTCGTCCCTCGCCCCTTTTGCCGCCGACCCCTTCCTCAGCCCTGCCCGCCCTGTCCTCTTACTTGTATGGCCGCAGCCCCCCACGCGCACCTGGGCATCATCGATTCTGAACGCCCAGCGCCCGGGCACGCCCACGTTGGTGGTGGTCTCCACCTCGGCCACGTCCGCCGTGCGGGAGCCGGGGATGCTGAAGTAGCGCCGCCCGTCGCCCGCATTGAAGCCGGCCTGGGGGGGTGTGGGGCAGTGAGGTGGGCGTCTGGCTGTGCAGCTGGTGGGGCTCCCGCCCCGTTCCTGCCGGGGTCAACCGCCTCCCAGCTCGTCCTGGGCCCAAGCACAGTTGCGAAAGACCCTGACCCTAGCCCCCACCCCTGCCGCGTTGGCCACCTTGGGGCCTCTCCCAGCCGCGGGAAGTGGACCTGGCAAAGGTTGGTGGCTGGGGGTGTGTGTGGCCCAAGGCACTGGCCCAGCAGCCACCTCCTGGTGTCACTCCCTCCACACCTGGGACCTCGAGCCAGTCACAGCCCCTGGCCAGGGCACACAGAACCCAGTGCATGTCTGCTGCTACTGCGGCTGTTAAACAGGGCCTGCGGGGCTAGGCCGGTGGGTCGGGGGGCAGAGGTGCCCTTGGGCCTGAGGATTTCTGCGATTCTGGGCAGCAAGGGGCCCCAGGTGTATATGCTAAACGTGGTCACCTCATGCTGGTCTCTGAGTAGTACTGGGAAGGGGTCTGCCTACAGTGACCCCTGCCTGCCTCATCCGCTCATGACAGTCCTGGCAGGGGGAGCAGGGACCCTGAACACTGAGCACCAGCCTGCACCCACCCACCTGGGCTGCGATGCCCCCCAGGCCAGTGGCATTGCCCCCGCTGCTGGCGTGCGTGCCCGTGGTCCACGAGATGGACTCGTAGTTGAAGATGGTGAAGGAGAACTTGCCGTCGGTGATGAGCACGGTCTGGAACGTGTTGACCTGCCGAGGAGAGGGGCTGAGCAGGGTCCTGCCCCGTCCCACACGGCCCTGCCCTGTCCGCCGTCCCTGCACAGTGTCATCATCCATGAGCCCTTGACTCGCTCAATGTCTGCCTCCCCCACTGGACAGTCAGCCAGGGCGGGCCCTGATGGCCCCGTCCTCTGCATCCCAGGGCCTATGACCCGCACTGGCCCTGTCCCCACCCCCGCCCCACACTGGTGCCCAGCAAGTGAGCGGGGCCCGAGGAGGGGCAGACACTGTCCCTGCCCGCCAGGGCTTGGAGGGTTAGGGTTCATTCCGCCAAATCCATAGAATCTTCTGCGTGAAATAAAAACATAAAAAGAGAAAGAGGAAAGATAAAAGAGGAACCAAGGAAAAGCATTTTTAATAATTAGGTTTTAAGGTTTTCACAGAATTCTATTCCATGAGAATACTGGTGGGTCAGTGTGTACACAAGACACGCAGCATCAGCTTGGGGCAAAGGACTGGGATTGCTTATGAAATGATCTTGGCACAAATAGAAAACTCTCTGAAAAGAATTAGATAAGAGCCCTGCCTTACACCACACATGCAAACAAATCCCAAACCGAGTAAGGTTTCAATGAGAGACCACAGAAGTCCCAGCAGAAAACGCAGCCAATGCGTGCAGCTCGGGAAAGAGACTGGACCTTTGCGTGTCAACAACAAAACCCAAAGGGAGATGTATGCATTTGACTCCAAAAATTTCTGAATATTAAAAAAATGCCAAATGTCTGCTCAACTGGAATAGCAAACAGCAAAGTGAAAATCATATTTTTAGCATATATAGAAGATAAAACTATCGCTATCCTTAACTCGAGAAGAACTTCTACGGATCAACTGGATAAAGAGCAAAAGTCTGACTGAGGCGCTGGCCACGGCTGTGCACAGACACGTCACAGCAGAGGCCCGCCGGCCAGAGACACCGGGACAAACCGCTGTCACCAGAGATCAAAGGCGCGTGAGGTTAAAGACACACAGCCTTCCTTTTGCTGCCTAGGTAGTCGGCAGGGAAGGAAATGACAGCTGGGTGCAAGGAAACAGGCTCTTCTAACTGTGGCCGTGCCAGGGCGAATGTGCACGCTTGGGAGGAGGCCTGGGCCTCTGCAGGCAGCAGCTCCCTTCTGGAGACGCGAGCCGGGCACGGTGGTGACCACAGCAGCCCCGGCTGCACGGTGTGCCCTGCAGGCACCTGCACTGCGCTGTCCAGCCCGCCGTGCAGGTGAAACCAGTTTCAGGCACTGTCTGGCACTGGGCTGATCTGCAGTCGTTGAAAAAGACGGGAGCCCACACGGCGCCCGAGCTCACTCACGCGAACACTCCCACCCGAGGACTCGTGCCCTGCTCAGGGGGGCAAAGGCAAGCACTAGCGCACTGAAGACATGACGGCAGGCGGCCACGGAGGAGGGCGGTGGGAAAGTCTGGCGGGAGGACGGCAGTCAGTAAGGGCCAGTGGGGGTGTGGGGAGCTGGTGAGGTTCACGTTTTGGGGGTGGAATGAGGAGACGCGTGACGCTGAACTGTCCACTTTCTGTTAATAAACCTGCTCCTGAAGTGCCGCTGGGCTGGGCTTCAGAGCACTGCCTGGTGCCTGGCAGCCGCGTCCCTCCCACGCGTGTGCCACGTGAGCCAGACGTGTCCTGTCTTGTCCAGGGCCTCCTCTCAGCGCCCAGAACACCTGCTGCCACCTACAAAGTGCCCTTAAGAATGTTTATCAAACGCGTGAACAGACAGCTCTGACGATGGCTGACCTGCCCCTGCCCTCTCTCTGGGGAGGCTCGTACAGCTGCCACCCAGAGCCAGTAGGACCTTGCCTCGTAGGTGCTCAGTGAAGCACATCGCCACCGAGGGGCAGCTCCGTCCTCATTAGGGAGGGTCAGCCCACCAAAACTTGCCAAGCTGGCAAAGCGGTCAATTGCTAAGATAACGTTTCTGTTACGTTCGGCATCATCAGAGAGTGCCGTATAAAAGAGAATAACATTCTAGTTTAACCCTCTGAGTACTGGGCCGTTCCGAATGGAAACGCTCCCGGCACCGTCATGGCATGCATCTCCCCAGGGTGTGAACTGCGGCTTCGGGGCACTGGGTGCTTCCAGGAGAGCGGGGCGGGTCGAGGCGCCTTAGCTGAGTGACCTCGTCCCTGAGCCCAGTTCCCCTCTCGGGTGTGGACCAGTGATGGTGCCTGACCTGTCTTGTCAAGCTGGGCCCAAACTGGACGTCCTCCTCCCCTCCCCAGGACAAGTGCCTGGACTCACAGGGGAAGCAGAGCTGCCTCCAAAGAAGGTCACTCGGTACCAGGTGGCGATGAAGACCCAGGTGGCGGAGAAGCCCGGGAGCTCGGGGAAGTAGTGCCTGACGTCCTCCGAGGCCCGGCGCAGCGTGGCCCGGTCGGTGGTCTCCCGGTAGTAGACATCGCCTGCGCGCCGGTTGTCCACGTCTGCCCAGAAGGCGGCCACCACGCAGCGGTCCTTGGCGATGGGGAAGGCCGCCGGGGTGAACTGAGAGACCTCCTTCAGGAAGGAGATGACCCCGTTATTGTTCACCTGCGAGGCAGAAGCCAGAGAGGGCCTGACGGGTGTGTGGGCAGGCGCCGGGCCACGGCCTCCCCAGCCTCCCCCACCAGGCGTCCCCTGGGGGGGGTGAGCCAGCCTTGGGCAGGGCGTTCCCAGGGTGGCCTCACAGCCCCTGGTCCCCAATAAGGGACCATGCGGCCCTACTCCTCCCCCTTCCAGACAGGCATGTGCTCCTGTGTGCTGTACCCGATGCCCGCAGAGTGCCCTGCCTGGGCAGCGCTGTGGGGGCGGGGAGCCCCCGTGCAGGCCTAGCCTCGGCGGTGGGGCACTCTGGCCACTGCTCCCGGGCCCCGGTCCGGCCAGCGGCCTCGGGAGGGTGGGGCAGAGCCCTGGACGTGACACCAAAGACACAGGCAACAAAATAAAACTGGACAGACTGGATTTCATGAAAATGAAAAACTTGCATGCATCAAAAACCACTATTAACAAGTAAAACCCACAGAATGGGAGAAAATATCTGCAAGTCATATATATATGATAAGGAATTAATATCCAAAATATAGACAGAACTCCTAAGACTCAACAATAGAGACCTGATTTGAAAATGGGGAAAGGATATGAATAGGCGTTTCTGCAAAGAAGATGCATAAATGGCCAGTAAGCACCTGAAAAGATGCTCAACATTGCCAACCATCAGGGAGATGCAAGTCACGACCACAGTGAGGGACGACCTCACATGTGTTAGGGCAGCTACTATAAAAAACAAAACAAAACCCAAAAGTAACAAGTGTCGGTGAGGATGTGAAGAAACTGGACTACTTGTGCACTGGTGGTAGGAAGGTAAGATGTTACGGCCATTGTGAAAAACAGTATGGTGGTTTCTCAAAAAATTAAAAATATAATTATCATATGATCCAACCATTCTGCTTCTGGGTTTATAACCAAATAACTGAAATCAGGGTGTTTTTTTCCATATGGGGTCTCACTATTACCTAGGCTGGTCTTGAACTCTTGGGCTCAAGTGATCTCCCAGCCTCAGCCTCCTAAGAAGCCGGGATGATAGGTATGTGCCGCCACGCCCAGTTGCAAGCAGGGTCTTGAGATTTGTATTTGCACACTCATGTTCATGGCATCATTATTCACAGTATCCAAAAACTGGAAGCAACCCAGGTGTTCATTGAGGATAAATAGGTAAACAAAATGGGTATAAATGAGATAAATGGGTAAACGAAATATATATGCAAGGGAATATTACTCAGCTTTAAAAAGTATCGTAAGAAAACATTGACACCTGCTGCAACATGGAGGGACCTTACAGACATTACGCTAAGAGTCACTCACAGAGTTAAATATTATATGACTCCATTTATGAGGCACCTGGAGTAGTCACATTCACAGAGACAGAAAGTAGAATGTTGGTTTCCAGGGGTTGAGAGAAGGGGGTAGTGAGGCGCTGGTGTTTGATGGGCATAGAATTTCAACTGTGCAAGATTCAGCGTCCTGAGGATAGACGGCGGTGATGGTTACACAACAATGTGAATGCACTTTATTTATTTTTTATTTTTTTGCTGTTTATTTTCCAAACAATTTTATTGAAATGTGCTAAGAGTACATGTACTTTTTAAAATTTTTTATTTATTTATTTTTTGTGAATGCACTTTAATACCACTCAACTGCACACTTAAAAATTGTTCAGATGGTGAGTTTTATGTCATTAATATGTGTGTTTTGCCACAATTTTAAAAATTGGGGGAAATAGGCTAGGATGAAAGAAAATCAGGAATGGAAATTATTTTTTTAAAAAGATATTTTACCACTATACCATATATACATGTAACATAATTCAACTCATGCCCCCTAAATCTATTATGATTAAAAATAAATAAATAAGTACAATTGAAAAGACATTTTACAGAGCCAAATAAATGACAGAAATGAAGAACTAACTAGGTAGATTTAAGAGCAGATTTGATGTAATTAAGAAAGAATTAGTGAACTAGAACTAAATGATAGATCAGAAAAAACTATCCAGAATTTAGAACAGAGACAAAAAGATGTAGAATATAGAAGAAAAGATATAAAGGGAACTAATAAGACGACAAAACAAATGATAATTTGGACACCAGAAGGAAAGCAGATACAAAGGCAGTGGCTGAGAATTTTCCAGAACTGATAAAAGACATCAAACCATAAATTCAATAATCCCTGTGATCTACTAGCTTGAAAAATAAGAACAAAGCCACATAAATGTGGGAAACTCAGAAAGTCAATGACAAGGAGACAATTTTACAAAGGGCATTGCTGGGAGACTGACAGCTGATGTCTCATGAGCAACAATGGAAGATGGAAAATGGTGGAATCGTATTTTCAATGTGCTGAAAGAAAACAACTGCCAACGTAAAGTCTCAGATATGATATCCTTCACCACTTGTGATATTGTGAAATGTATATTTGGTCTTCAGCCCTGTTTCTTGACATACAGCTCCCAAAATACTCAGACTCTCCCAAGTGATGTCTTTTGTGTGCTAATGAGTTGACCAGTGACTGGCGGCTCCTAGGTAGCTTCAGGACTGGAGCTGGTCCCAGGAAGACCAAGGCAGGATCAGAGGGTTGGGACATCTAGCCACACCCCTCGGCCTCCATGGAGGGGAAAAGGGCTGAGGGTTAAGTTGATTACCAATGGCCAATTATTTAATCAATCATGCCCATGTAATGAAGTCTCCATTAAAACCCAAAAGGACGGGGTTCAGAGAGATTTGGGATGGCTGAATGCCTGGGGGTTCCAGGTGCAACCAGGGAGGGCACAAAAGCTCCACACCCCTCCCCCACACTTTTTCTGTGCATTTCTTCATCTGTGTCCTTCATCATGTCCTCTGTAATACACTGGCAACTCTAAGTAGATGTGTCCCTGAGTTCTGGGCACCGTTCCGGCAAATTAAACAAACCTGAGGAGGGAGTTGTGGGAACCCCCGATGTATAGCCAGTCAATCAGGAATTCCAGCAGCTTGGACTTGCAACAGGTGTCTGAAGCAGCCTTGGGGACTGAGCCCTCAGCCTGTGGGATCTGACACCGTCACAGATAGCAAGTGCCGGGACTGAATTTGGGGGCACCCGGCTGGTGTCTGCTGTAGAACTGGCTGCTCACTTGCTGGCGGGGAAAACTCCCAGACACTCGATCACAGAAGCCTGCTGTGTTGACTTGTTGAGTGAGAGAAATGTAAAAAGCACTCTGAGTGTGTGTGATTTTTCCCTTCAGACTACTGAAGGCAAAATAAATATAATTTATACAAAAAATTATACAAATAATAAACAAACCCATACTAAAAGAAACTCTAATGGATCAACTTCAAGTCAAAGGGAAATGTGAGGTCAGAGATGCAAGAAGGAAAGAAGGGCAGATGCGTGTTGGCCATATACAGAAATAATGTACATTGCTGCCCTATGAAATTGAGGGAAAATACATAAATTAAAATTTATATGACAACAGCAGCATATAGAGCAGGAGTAGATAAGTCCTCTCAAAGTTTCCAAGGTCACTGCATTTTCTAGGAGGAGAGTAAAGGAATAAAGGAACCTATCAGTGAACATTAATGTTAAAGATGTGCATTGTACTGTCTGTGGCAATCACCAAAAGAATAGAAACAGCGCACATATTCCCAGCTGACAGAGCGATAAGATGGAATTATTAAAATACTCAACATAAAACATGGCAAGAAAGGAGAGAAAGAAAAATAACACAGGTGGAACAAATAGCACAAAAAAGATGTGGACTGAAACACAACTACATCAGCCACGCATTAAATGAAAATGAATTAAATGCTCCATTTTCAAGGTATCCTATCCAAATACTACCAAAGGAAAGCTGGTGTAGTCATTGTTATAAGATAAAAAGGATCAAAAGGCCAAAAGTTTTGTCAGAGGTAAAAAGGGCCACTTCATAATAATACAGATGCAACAGCGTCTCATTTGTATGTTCCTAGTAGCAAGGCCTCGACATATAGAAATGAAAAATTGAAAAAAGGAAATGGGTAAACTCACATTCATGGTGGGACATTTCAACATACCTTCTGTAGTCAAAGGTAGACCAGGCAGACAAAAATAATCTGTCAGAACATAGAAAATTTGAACAGTGCAAATAATAAGACATAATGGATAAGACAAATAGAACATTTAAGATATTCTTTGAACCACATACTGAACCTTAAAGCAAGTGCCAAAACATTTCAAATGATTATAAAAATTACAGGGTTTGTTCTTTGGTCACAGTGCAATTATACTAGAAATAGTAACCAAAAGAGTAGAAATTAAAAAATATAATTATAAATAACTCTGGAAAGAAAGATAAAAATGCTAATTAGCAAAAACTTGTGAAGTTGTGGTAAAAGCGGAACTTTAAGGGGAAATTTATAATCTTGCACATACACGGTAGTATGCATATTTAATGCATAAACCAAAAAGTTAGTAAATAAACCCATATATAGTAAAGAAACCCAAAAACAATAGAAGTAAAAATTTTAAAAATTGATAACAGAAGTTAATGAAATAAAAAACAAATACTGAGTAAAGAGCCAAAACTTGTTTGTTTAAACTAATAAAGGAGATAAACCTCCAGTGGAAGTGATCAAGTAAGAAAGAGGAGTCATCAGTTCCCTATTTCATGACTGAAAAAGAGGATATCACTTTGGCTCCTAAGTGATATCCTCTTTTTCAGTCATGAAATAGGGAACTGATGACTCCGATGCTATCAAAGACGATAACCAGAAGATATAAACACCTTTATAACAATAATAAACTCAAAATTTTAGGTAAAACA